TCATCATCATCATCATCATCATCATCATCATCATCATCATCATCATCATCATCATCATCATCATCATCATCATCATCATCATCATCATCATCATCATCATCATCATCATCATCGCGCATGTGTCGATGATGTGGTACGAGTGATCTGGTGTCCGCTGACCTCTCATGATGTTACACAGGAAGTGGAACTTCATGGGCACGCACAGGATGTGCTTGATGACGGGCACCTGGATGGCCTTGGCACACTCCGCCCACTTGTCGGAGAACCATTTGGTGCACGCCGCGATGCCCCCCTTGACCATACCTACGTGCGACAGGAGACGAACGTGACGATGACAGAGATGAAGGTGGAGGAGGAAGGCTCACCGTCGCACTGCATTAAGGTGCTGAGGGCGAAACGTTCCTGCGTGCTGTTCCGGTCGGCGTTTTGGGAACGCTCATTCAGCAGCCGGCCGTTCGCGTCCCGACCGAGAACTTCCTGCCGGACGTCGGCGAAGGCGCCATGGGCGCCGCGAGCTTCTGACTCGAATTCCGCTTCTCCCTGCTGGATACACGAAAGAGGCAGCAAGTCACACGTCACCTTCAGGCCGTTTGCTAAGAAGCAATCCTTTTTGCTCAGCAGCAGGGTGGTCACATGACTTGTGGGGGGGCGGGTCTTACCACGACTTCTTTCGCCACCTTGAGGAAGGGCTTGACAGCGTCTCTCCACAACAACTTGGCGTTGCGCACTTGAAGGTCCAGATTGCAACTCAGAGACTCCGCGGCCGTCTCGACGTTGTGCTGGATGTTGGACACCGGACCTGTCAATCAAGCGCCACGCACTTGTCAGTTATCCAGCAACAACCTGTTCGTCAGCATTTATTGAGCTGTGCTGCATTCGCTGTCCAACTGTCAATCATTTCGGCAACTATCCAATTGTACACCTGTCCATTCTTCATTGGCTTCTTGTCAATCATCAACTCTCTGCCTGTCAATTATTATTGTCCATCTCTTGCCAATCACTTGTTGTTCAACTGTCAACCATCAGTCGTCCACTTGTCAATCACGTTACCCTGCTGTCATGCACCAACCTGAATAGAGCGCAGAGACAACGAGCAGCAAGAGGAAGGTGCGTCCACGGGAGCCGAGCATGCTGGGAAACATCAGCAGGACGGCGCATCTGAAGGCCGATGATGTGGCCCCGCCCACCACACACGCCCCTGGACACGGCCACAAGCACAGTCACACAGGCGTCCTGTAGGTGGCGCTACATCATCATCTTCCTCACCAGTAAAGAGGCATCCTGTGGCCAGCTTGAGGTCAAAGGTCAGGGGCAGGCCCAGTGCAATGGCGGCAAACATGGCTGGTCTCATGACAAACACATCACTTGACATCATCTGCTGTTGATTGGACGGCGCTAGCTTGACTTAGCAGTTGAGATTGTTCTGCGGCGCAGCTCGTAACTCGCTCAAATGATTTTGAATGGAGACAGTCTGTGTGAGCCCCCCCCCCCACCCACAAAACCATATTTTCCCTCAAAAAAACAGGGGTCACCAACTCCAATACTTGAGAGCCAGAGATGTTTCCCTCCTCCAACACACCCGATCAGCAAGCTCTGCAGGAGCCTGATCACGATCCTGATCGGTGCAGGCTAGGGGGTCTCGAGGACCGGAGTTGGTAGCCCTTTGTCTAGAGCGTCTCGAGAATATCCACGGAAGTGCCAAACATTTTGATCCAGATGCCGCCAATATGGTTTTCAAATGATTCATAACAATTGCGATTGCTCCAAAAGCCACTGCTGTTATTGCACATTATGGACACTTCCCTTTTGGGAAACCAAAAAAAAAAAAAAGACACCAAGACAACTCGTTCGTGAAACTTCAATCGTTCCACTTCACTCCGAGCTTCCATTTGGACTGGCCACCCAGCAACAGCAAAAAACAACACCTGCTGAGTCAAAGTCCATCCACCTTGGTGTTTTTTACTTTTCTTTTTCGTTTTTTTTTTTTCTTACCTGCACCACTCAGCGCGCCGAACAGGGCGCGTAGGATGACGTCAGCAAGCCGCAGCTCTTCCGATTGGTTGAGAAGGAAGCGATGGCAGACACGTGGGAGGAAGTGCTTGATCAGATGCTCTACAGCTGCGAGACACGTCACCGCCACCAGAGGGCGTCACATACCAGAAATACCACAAGGACGGTGACAACAAAGAAGAAAAGAAACCACTCACTACTGCGAGGTTGCTCGTCACGAGTCATGATAACGTCACGATCAGCTTGTGCCGTTGGTGCTTGTTGTTCACAATGACCGTAAAGATCATCATCATAATCATATCCTGATAATCCCAAATCCTAATCCATGCCTTTTCCCCACCGCAAACCAGTGTGACGTCACAGTCAGACGACGCGTTATGTCACGTGACGCCATCAAAGTGAATTCCCTTACACGTTCCTGACGCGCACGTTGAACTTTGAGTTACAAACTTTTGGGGAAAAAAGAACTGAGACGATGTGAACCATGTAATGAAAAACTTGTTTGACACTCTCCCGTCGCGTAATGGACGGAAGTGCAGTCAACTGGTTACCATGGCGACGCCCAAGCAGGTAAAATGTCTCTAATGAACTGCACGGCTAATTTGTTGCATTCTATTGTCAAAGATGGGGGAGCGGACAAGATGGTTGACGTTTTTTGTGATTTTGAAAATGCAAAGAAATGTGATCCAAACAAAAGAAAGACAAGGAAGTTGCTACGACTGAGCGCATTGCAGTGCCCTGAGATACGACTGATCCAACCTGACTAGATTTGTTTTGTTTTTTTTTTGTTGCCACGAGCCATCATTTGGCTGATTGTGCAAAAGAATGCTCTCACTACCTTAATGCTAAAATATCATGGGAAATGGCATAGACGGAACAACAAAGAGCATGGATAGTTGGAGTGGAGTGCAACATATACATCAACACAAACGTTGCAGCATCACATGTAGACAGACAATATAATCCAGCCAAATTGGAAGACTTTTTGGGAGCTCTACTAAAGGCAATTACGTATTACCAAGAATGTTTAAATGGAGCCAGAAAATCTCAAGGCCATGACGCAAAACACCTCACCATTTTTTTTTCACACCAAAGGCTGCCATCTTCCTCGTCGTCATCCTCGCCGGCTTCGCGGCGCAGCAACTTGCGAGGTGACTTTCGAGCGGCGGCGCGCAGCCTACTGGCCTTCGGGGCGGGACTGGTGCTGGCCTCCTGCTACGGTGCCACAGCGCTCTTTCTGGAGGGGGCGCCGCTGTGGACGTGTGTATACGTAACGCTGGCGGTGGCCACCGTCACTGGCTTTGGGATGGGGATGTCCGTGCGCGTGCGCACCGCCATCAGCCTTATGCTGCCGTCGCTCTGCTCGGGTCAGTGCCTTCGCGCTTGTGTGTGTGTGTGTGTGTGTGTGTGTGTGTGTGTGTGTGTGTGTGTGTGTATATCCGATGATGTGTGCGTGTGTGTGTGTGTGTGTGTGTGTGTGTGTGTGTAGCTCACGGACGTAACTTCCTGTTGCTGGCAAGCACGGCGGTGCTGGTGTCGGGCCCGGTGGCTAATACATTGGAGAATTCGGAGCAAGCCGCCGCCAGCCTGCTCTGTGGCGCTGAGTTGGCCGCCAATCAGACACGACAGCTGATGAGGAACGCGGCAACGCCTCTTCTGGGTAAGACACGCCCACTGGCTTCCCTCATCACAGCTCAGCTGAGCAACATGTCAGAGAAAACCGTGTGCATGTGTGCGCATGGCTATGCAGCCGCGCTGGACCACATCCGCCAGATTGGAAGGAACGCCGCTGCCATGGCGGCCAGAGTCAACAAGCTGATTGGCTCGCTGAGTGATGGCATCCGCCATGTTGGTGAGAAAATCACAATGTGCGTTTGTGTGTGTGTGTGCGTGTGTGTGTGTGTGTGTGTGTGTGTGTGTGTGTGTGTGGGTGTGTGTGTGCGCACGCGTGTCTTCAGGTTGAGTCTTTGTCCTCCTTGCCCTCCAGCTCGCACCATGAGGAACGTTTTTCATTTCCTGTCGGACCTTGGCAACGTGTGCAACGCCAAACTGGGTGCGCCGTACAGGAAGTGTCGCGCCATCTTTGTCCGGGCCAAAGGCGACTGCGTTGCTCAGCTACGCGACTTCAACTTCCTGTGTGGCATCGTCGAAGGCTTCATGCACCTTTGTGAGCTGGCGAAAGGTGCATTGACCCGCCGAGTGCCTGACTGAGCTTTTTATGTGCCTTGGTGAAGTGGGATGGAGCGAAGCCATTGCATAGCATAGCAATGGCATTTCAAAGTCCCAAAAAACAGTAAAACATACAGGGAGGGATAACAGCAGCACAGGACAACAACAAGCGAGTGAGACAGAAAAGCACAGAGAAGCAAACCTGAAAGCAAATGGGCGTTAAATGATCCAACAAGTGTGTCTGCTTTGTGTCTTTTAGCCCCCAAGCTGTTCTGCAGCATCCCGGAATATGTCTCCAGCCAGCTCAAGAAGCACTTGGCCGAGCGTAAGTCTGCCAGCCTTTGAGAGCCCGCCTCCTGCCTCCCGGCCCCATCCCTGACTCCTCCCCCTTGCATATTTAGCCGTCATCTCCGCCTTCCGCCGAATGCGGAGCCATTTCGACTTCAGCCTGTCGGTGTCGGCCGCCTTGGAGGTGGACGCCAACGTGAGCCGCTCGCTACACCAGACAGCTCAGGAAATCCTGGACCAGCTGATTTGGGACCTCAAGGTCTTCACCAAGCTCAGAGGACCGCTCGTGTGGGCGGGGCTTTTGCTCCTCACCTGCTCCCTAATTAGGTGACCGCCCCTTCTGTGCTGGGCGTGCCACACCCACAGTTGTGCGTGTATCTGTATGCATGTCGGTTTGTGTGAATGTGTCTTGTGCACGTCCGCTGATGATTTTGTGTGTGAAACTAGCAGCTGCTAGCTAACACACGCCGTGTGTGTAGGGCGGTGCAGTACCAGCGCAAGTACTTGACACACTTGAATTTCGAAAACATTTACATCACTGCTCAGTTTGTCAAACTGGACCGTCAGTTGACCTCAGAAGGCGGGGCTTCCATCCTGCCAATCACGCGGAGGGAGTCACAGATCTACATTAGGCCACGTGAGTTCACCGGAAACAATGGTTGACGACTCAGGCCACGTCGTACGGCAGTCACCCGTCACTTCCTGTCGGCACTTTATGCCATCACTTCCTGTTTCAGTGTCTCCGTGGCTGACACGCAGAGAGTGTCGTTCGGTGCTGGTGGGCGTAGCCTGGGTGACAAGACACATGCTGATGTCGGCGGTTCTGGTAGCTCTGGACTTCCTGGTCTTCTGGCTTCTGGATCAGGTGCAGCGGCAGGTCCAGGGGGGCGTCGTGGCCCGAGGTGACATGTTTCCCGAATGAACCCTTTTTTCACTTCCATCTTCCAATTCCTTCAATCGTCCTTCAATCCTTCCAAAGCAATAATGCCGTGAACGCTTTCAATCTTAAATGAGCTTGACAGGTACACGGTTTGTCTGAGCGTGGGGTAACCGCGGCGATTGTATGATCCCGCAGCTCCGGTGAAAGTGGCGGTTGAGGTACAAGGCTCGGGCTACATGGCCGACATCATGCGTGACCTGGCGGTGTCCTTCAATGTGCTGCAGGCGGGAAACGTCACGGTCATCAGCCACAAGTGTCTGTTTGTGCCATCGGAACCCGACTACACTTCCTGTTTCGCCATAGGTGGGGCCGCCGCTGCGGGAAGTGACGTATGAAGGCGTGAGGGGGAGGTGACCCGTCCGCTCTTCTCTCAGGCTTCCTGTTGGGCGTGGCCCTGCTGGTGACGCTCGCTGGAGGAATCGTCCGCCGGTCAAGACGCCTCATCTGCGCCTACTTCCACCCCGACACCGAGATGGTAAACACACACCCTCACAAATAGACCAAGAAACGTGTCATATAGCGACGCATTGTCATTATATGCCCTTTGCCTTACGCTCAATCAGTTTTCCGACGTCTACTGACTTTACACTGACTTCCTGCTCCGTCAGGCACGTATCCACTTCCTTCGCCAGCAGATCCTGGATGAGAGGCGGGCGGCGGGAAGAGCCCTGCTGAGGGCGGCGGCCAGGATGTCGGCGAAAGGGGCCAAGCCTTGCGGCCGTCTCTGGGCCCTGTTGCAAAGGTGCGTCTTTGTTGAAAAGGGGCGTGGGGAAATTTGGAGGGTCGGGTGCTCACAGTTGAAATGGGATCAGGTGGAACTTTTATTTTTTTTCTTTGGTGCATCTTCACAAGTAACGTCATGTCATCTCATGTTGTTCACCCTTGAGCCTAATGTTTTCGTAGCAGACATACAGGACATAGCAACGCTTCATAACGACCTTGTATCACTGAGCCAAAGTTAAGCATTAGCTCTTTCTCCAATGTCATTCCCCAGTTGGAGGTCAGTTAAGCCCCTCCCCCTGGATGAACGTCACTCTCCCAGCCTCCGCGTCTGTCACGTGTGTTTCTTTTCCACAACAGTCAATCAAGTATCAATGCACGTGTCTGTCAGGCTTCCAGGGGGAGGAGCCTACCTGTCAGAAATGTGCGTGGCCTGCGGTGGGAGGGCGGGGCTTGCGCCGTTCGTCTGCGACGTCAATCGGTGTCCAGGTAGGATGGTCGCTAAGGCCGACCAGGCACCCGCCGATCACAACTCCGCACAAGACGGGTAGCAACATGCTACGGCTAAATCTTGGCGCAGGGAGGTCAGGTGATGTCAGGGAGAGCACGCGGTGTTGGCCGCTAACCGCGGTAACCGCTGTCACAAGGTTTTCGGTTTCCCCTCGCTGTGTTTGCAGGAGTGTTTTGTAAGCCGTGTTTCAAGAGAGGTGGGAAGATGTGTCACGTGTGCGCGCGACCGACGACCTTCCAAGAAGACAGCCAGGAGGAGCCGTGAGTGACGCAGCCACGAGAAATCCTGTAAAAGCTCGTGCTCGAAAGCCGAAAAACAAGAAACACCCTTAAATTGAGGAAAGCACTAAAAACGGAGATTGAATAAAACTCTAAAATAAAAGAGGAACCCAAGTAAAAAAAATTAAATAAAAAAAAGAAAACCCTGGAAAAAAAACAACCACAAAAGATGGAAAAAATGAGAAAAAAAGCTAAAAGGGTACAAGAGAAAACACTAAAAAGAAAACACTTAAGTAGAAAAGTATAAAAAAATAGATCTGGGAGAAACCGTTAAAAAAACTTAACATGAGAAAAATGCAAAAATTAGACACAAAAATGAGAAAAAACTATAACATTGGGAAAAATGTAAAAACAAAAAAGAAATTGAGAAAAATGATACAAACTATTAGAAAATACTAAAAAGGAGAAAAAAAACAAAACTGGAATGAGAAAAAGCTGAAAAAACAAAGATCAAAGGAAGAAAAACTCAAATGAATACAAACACCAAAGATGAAAACACGGAACTTCAGAAAACTCTAAAGACGACAATGTGAATCGTGAGAAGGCTTCAAATATTCCAAATGTTATGACCTTGTTTTTTTGTGTTGGTCTTTTTGCTTCTGCGTGTGCATACACACCTCGTCAGTGACTCGAGCGAGGACGAGCGCGAGGACACCCGCCAGGATGCCCGCCAGGCCGATGTGAGCGCCGGGCGCCCCGAGCCGCCATCGCTGGAGCCGTCAGCGTCCCAAAGCTTTTTCTCTTCCGCCTTCGGCTTTCTTCAAGACTTCGGTGGCCGTGGCCCCACGCCGCACTGATGACCTCTGACCTAGCATTAAGCGCGCATGTACGTGTGTGACACATCAACAAATGGACACAATCACAATCCACTGCCAATAAACCATTCGTCCTCTCCCTTTCACACGAAACTTACCAATACTCCTTCAACATGCTGAAAAATGCTTCGAAATGTAATAGCAGGTCAAAAAGACAAGCAGTCACACGAAGGTTTGGTAAGCTTTATTGGAGTACATCACTGACACACACACCGCGGCCCCCCGCCCAAATTTAAAAAAAAAAATTAATCAGGAGCAGCTGTCTTATGGCTACAATTAACGTGTTAGCAGACGAAGTGCTTCCTGTTAGCCGTTAGCAAGCTACATTTGATGTTTTGCAACACAGCAGTCGGAATTGGGAGGTCTTAAAAGCTGGCCGGGCCTCAAAAGACCCGATTTAGAATCTTAAATATTACACATGTTCAATATTTAGGACCCCCCCAAAAAAATCTTCCATGTATGCTGGGAACAGTAACAATCGGCGCATATCTGCTCGTGACAATTCTTGTTTTTTTTTTTTTTGTGAGGAAAGACTTGTTTCGAGATCTGTGGCGGAAGAGAACCTCTAAAGATTGGTGCTGTGTTTTGAGATTATTTACACACTTACACACAGTATGACTAAAATATTAAAAGTGATCCGGTTTTGAGCTTGTTGAGTGGGCTCGGTAACAGATCGATCTTTTCATATATGAAAAATACTAATGTGTACACTAGGCCTTAATGGCGCCTTGGCGGCGTGACGTGACCCTGACAGGAGGTCAAGTGAGAGTGTAAGGAAGCAGAATTGTGTCAGTGAGTACTGCGATTAGATTAGTTTTGCGCTGATTCTGTCGGAGAAGCCGTACGCTGACCAACACATACCATGGCGTTCTGCTGTCAAAGAGTGGCTGACCGGGCAAATGTTATGACCTTGTTTTTTTGTGTTGGTCTTTTTGCTTCTGCGTGTGCATACACACCTCGTCAGTGACTCGAGCGAGGACGAGCGCGAGGACACCCGCCAGGATGCCCGCCAGGCCGATGTGAGCGCCGGGCGCCCCGAGCCGCCATCGCTGGAGCCGTCAGCGTCCCAAAGCTTTTTCTCTTCCGCCTTCGGCTTTCTTCAAGACTTCGGTGGCCGTGGCCCCACGCCGCACTGATGACCTCTGACCTAGCATTAAGCGCGCATGTACGTGTGTGACACATCAACAAATGGACACAATCACAATCCACTGCCAATAAACCATTCGTCCTCTCCCTTTCACACGAAACTTACCAATACTCCTTCAACATGCTGAAAAATGCTTCGAAATGTAATAGCAGGTCAAAAAGACAAGCAGTCACACGAAGGTTTGGTAAGCTTTATTGGAGTACATCACTGACACACACACCGCGGCCCCCCGCCCAAATTTAAAAAAAAAAATTAATCAGGAGCAGCTGTCTTATGGCTACAATTAACGTGTTAGCAGACGAAGTGCTTCCTGTTAGCCGTTAGCAAGCTACATTTGATGTTTTGCAACACAGCAGTCGGAATTGGGAGGTCTTAAAAGCTGGCCGGGCCTCAAAAGACCCGATTTAGAATCTTAAATATTACACATGTTCAATATTTAGGACCCCCCCAAAAAAATCTTCCATGTATGCTGGGAACAGTAACAATCGGCGCATATCTGCTCGTGACAATTCTTGTTTTTTTTTTTTTTTGTGAGGAAAGACTTGTTTCGAGATCTGTGGCGGAAGAGAACCTCTAAAGATTGGTGCTGTGTTTTGAGATTATTTACACACTTACACACAGTATGACTAAAATATTAAAAGTGATCCGGTTTTGAGCTTGTTGAGTGGGCTCGGTAACAGATCGATCTTTTCATATATGAAAAATACTAATGTGTACACTAGGCCTTAATGGCGCCTTGGCGGCGTGACGTGACCCTGACAGGAGGTCAAGTGAGAGTGTAAGGAAGCAGAATTGTGTCAGTGAGTACTGCGATTAGATTAGTTTTGCGCTGATTCTGTCGGAGAAGCCGTACGCTGACCAACACATACCATGGCGTTCTGCTGTCAAAGAGTGGCTGACCGGGAGTGGCGCGGAGCGGGGGGGTGGGAGGAGCGGCGGCACCGTGCTGTGGCGTGGACGGGGTGGCGCTCATCAGTCGGTGGCGCTGTTGATGGGCTCTTCCACCGAGTTGGGGTTGAGGTACTCGAAGGCCTTTTGGCTCTGCGACACAAACTGCTTGAGCGGCGAAAGGATGAGCTCGGCGGCGGAGGGACGGCGTTGGGCGGCGCTATCGGAAAGGATGGGGAAGCCGTCCGCCTCCGCGTCCTGCTTCAGGCTGGAGCGCTGGCCGGAGGCGGTCGCAGGGGCAACGGCGGCGGCGTCCGGGCCTGGACTGCGGGCGGCCCTAGAGAAGAGACTCTTGCGCCGGCGAGGACGTCCGTCCATGGCCTTCAGGAACAGACTATTGGCTGAGCTGCGGCGGGACGAGCTGTCCGCACGGAAGTCCTCCTGGTTCAGGAAATCCTCCACCTCTTTGTTGGACGGCTGCTGGAGCTGACGCATGAGAAACATGAACTTGAAATAGGTGTCAAACTCATCTGAAACATGCCTCACACATACATGAAACATGGACATGATTCCAAGATGTCCAGAAGATGCCGAAAACCCGCTTCAAATGTGTCCCAATTGTGGCGGAGATCAGCTCACGGCTGCATCGGAGTCGGACAAAGTGTGCTTACCAAGTCGTACAGTGGCGTGGTGTTGATGACGAGCTGGAGGAGAATCTTGGAGAGCTTCTGAAGATCCCCCAGGAGGTGGCGGACCTGAAGCGGGAGCTCTCGGATCTGCCGCACCGGACGAAGCTCCGCTAACACGACAGCCTGCTCCCGAACGCGTCCCAGGCTCAGCTCCCTCAGCCTCTCTGTGCGGTACACCAGCGCCACCAGCAGCCTCTGCAGGTACTGCAGCAACTCCCCCAGCACTTCTAGCACAGTCCCCAGTCCCACCTGCAGGGGATATGGGAGTGTGGCACAGTAAATGTATGGAGTCGTATCCCAAAATCGTCACACTAGCTCTCTTTTTTTGCGAACATGCTTCTTCTTTGACACTCGCGGCATGTTTTTGTGGTTCAGTCAAAGTAATACAGTACAACAGTGGTGTCAAGCTAGCAGCCCGGGAGCCAGATTTAGCCTGCCACATCCTTTTATCTGGCCTGCGAATGCACTTCAGGTGCGACGAAAAAGGCAAACAAAAAGATAAGATTAAAGACAAGATTAAGTTCAGTGAAAAGATTTTTTTAAAAAAAGTCAAGGTACCAGCGTGAGCCGAGTGTTTTGATTAGCTTTGCACGAACCGCTTGGACGGCGTCCCCCAGGGCTCCGGTGGCGTCCTCCAGCTGTTCTTGGACCTTAACCATGCGGTGGTAAAGCTGCAGGCTTATGGAGAGGAGGAGGCTACGGACGCGGGTCCAGACGCTGGGCTCCTCGTCGTCATCTTCGTCCTCATACTCCTGAACCCGCATCTCCCACTCGCGACCTCAACATGCCACATGACACACAGCGCACGTCAAGAACCGCTGTTACAACCTACAAGTTTGCTTTCCGGACAACTATAAACCATTTCCCCAAAATAACCATTCGCTCCCCTAGAAATCCAGATGTGGACTGGCTCACTCAGTCTCCAAACCAAAATGGACCATTACAGACCACCAGGGTGGACCATTATGGACATCATCGAATTGACCCTCATTGACCCTAATGATGGTAAATGACAAAGTTCAAAACAAATGTTGCTAACTTACGCAGCGTGGGAGGCAGCGGCATGTAGTAGGCGGTGGCGTCCTCCAGGCGGCTGAGCAAGTCATCCAGACCCGACGAGGCGGCGCGTCCCACCTGCGACTCCTGCACCTGCCGCACCGCCATCCAGGCGGCGTGAGACAGACGCTCCATCTGGTCCAAGGCACCGTCCAATCCATCCACCATCCACAGCTGCATGTCATCCAGCGTCAGGAAGAAGGCATCCTTCAGGTGACCCACCACCTGGACGGGGACGAACCATTAGCGTGGCGACACACGCCTGACCGACTATGTCACAGATTTCTTTGCAATCCTGCTTTTTCTGCCTACAGAAAGCAATGGCTGTAGGTTCATTGGACAATGTACATCTTCGGGCCACATTATTCATGTACATTGCCAGAAGATCAGTGAAATTTGTTAGTTTGTAATAAACGGGGATTGACTGTATCAACTAGGTTGATGATTTTATGCTAGCTCTATGCTAGCTTTATGTCGTAGCTCTGTTAATAATCCTGTTTCTATTTGAGCCTGTCATGTTCTGTTTAGGACATTATATGAGTAGATACACGCGAGCATACTTCAAGTGCTTTCTTATTGGTTGCACCAGAAGGCCATAGCTGACTTTTCGGTTCACGAGTGAAGGTTACCATGTATTGACGGTAAAGTTAGCTACCAGAAATTGTGCACTTTGTCTTTCAAAATAAGAGTATGATATGCAAGAAGCGCGATGTCAACTGTGTAAATGTTGCCTTCGTAGTAGTTGTACTCAGTAGTGTACGCATTATTTATTTATCCTGTTTGGGTTCACTGACCAGTGAGTATATGGTTAATAATTTTTTTTCGGCTCGAAACTTACATGCGCGTACACACACACTACAGAGGCCTTTCCAGTCAACTTTTTTTTGCAAATCATCCAAAAAAAGTCGTCACACACAACAACTGAGGACAACAAAAAGAAACAAGTTGGCAACCTCGTCGGTGGACTGGTTAAGGAAGGGAAAGGTCCTCTCCAGCTGGTCCAGACCCACCAGAGCAAAACTGTTCGCCACCTCGACTGGGAGCACACACAACACGGAAAGTGCGTCACGCAAACATAGGAAGTAGCACAGGATCACCACGCTAGCTGAAATGGTAGACAGTAGCTACAGGGCAGCAGCATTATTAGCATTCGCTCTCGGATTTAGTATTAGCATCAGCACAGTACGCACTCTGAGGCCTGAGGGTCTGCACGAGGGGTGTGGCTCCGCTCAAGGCCACCTTGGAGGCATTTTGGACGCCCACCTCGGCCACGCCTCCCACCAAGCCCAGCAGAGGGTAGCGACCTTTGGCCTCCGAGTACATCGAGGTCACCAACTCCAGCGCCGAGCGCACCAGAGGAAGGTGCGAGACCCTCAGCACCACACTCATCTGAACACACAATCAACCAAGGTTTGAGTGGTGTGACCAAGAGATAAATAAGCCCCTTTCCCGTCTCACCTCATGATTGTGATGAGCCATGTCGTTATCTCTTTCCCCAAATCTGAAGGGAGACAAACAGAATGATAAGACTTCTCACCGACAGCAGCTACTGGTCCCGGTATCGGGTCAATGCTGGCTTTATTTCAAAGTATCGGGGACTCATGACGTCTGCCGATACCAGTCACAGATACCAAGACCTGGTCATTTAACATAATGTAAAATTTACTGTCATCTGAGATTAGTAAAACCAAGTTCAAAATCTGTGAATCAAACTAAGCGGAGCTCCATTGCACTATTTAAAAAAAAAAAAAACCTTAACCACAACATCTCAGTTTGTCAGATTTGGGCTTTGTAGTTTCGTTGATGTACCAGAAAGACACGAGATTTGTATGGAAGGTTAGAACAGAGGACCCCCGACGAAGGGCAGCAACGAGACCTTCGCATGTGGCCCGATTTGCATCCAGGCCTTCATTTGCGAGTGAAGAGGTAATAGCGTCTGCGGCCTCGGCGGCGGCGGCATGAGGCAGTCAGCTGCTCGTGCACACGACTCTTCAATGTTCCGCCGCTGAACCAGCGTGGAAATTGCCCTCTATGGCCAATGCACGTACGCTCACATGCGCACAAACCAGCCTTTCAAGCACTTTGGAGGGCGCCGCTCTCATGACATCTCCCACTGACGCTTGCCACAGAGTCCATTCACTCCACCGGATTGACAGGCGACCAATCCACTGGAACATTTACTTATTGGCGTCATCCAAAAGGACTCTGTGTCATCGTTTTTCCCCAAAAACGCAAGTTGAAAAGTGGCTCAGTCTCCGGTGCGGCTTGCTCTGACAACTTGGATCACTCGTGAGGGCAAAACATTCAGTTTCAGGCATTCATCCTTTCACCACAGACTATCTTGGCAATCTGCTCACTATGCATACCACCACCCGTGTTCGCCATTTCAGCGGTTTCATGAATCTCTTGGTTCTCAAAGTCCACTTTTTTTCATCCCGTAATTTCTCTGGAAGGCTTTGTAACAAACGAGGAAAGACATCGTTGAAAAACTCGGCAAAGAAGGACCACACCCTGATGGCATCCGAGGGTCAGAAAACACCAGAGGACTGCTGGTACACCTTGGCGCAGGGGTGTCAAACTCATTTTTGTCACGGGCCACATTGTCATTACATTTTCCCCTTGGAGATCCGTTATGATTGAATTTTGTAAAACCATGTCAATGTCTAACCACCTCCACATATTACATACACAGCGAACAACAAATTCATGGATCGCTTGTTTTGAAATCCGAAGTCAAAAATAATGGCTTGTTTAAACATTGTTGTTATGGATTGGATATGACAATTGGAAATTTTGGTTCAGACTTTAGGCAGCATTATTGGCGTTGAAATGCTTGATTTGCTTTCGCAGGCCACATAAAATGATGTGGGGGGCCCCAGATTTGGCCCCGGGCCTTGACTTTGACACCTGTGCGCTAGTGTTTGTTCATCTGTCCATCCTCATGACAGGTTACTTTCGTTCCGTGTTTCTCATTTATTTTACGTAAGTCCCTCCCCCGAAGGAGGAAAAAACATTTGACCTCCTCACCAACTCTCTGGCACGACAATAAATGGTTTTTGTCTGTAAAATTGTTCCATGTAAACTTCTGTTGAACAGCCGATCCTTATTAACATTTCAAACAAAGACAGAGAGCTCAACTTATAACATAGAATAAATTGAACAGGATTGTTGACATTTTGTCACTGAAATGATTTTAAGTGCATCGATTTGCCTGAAAAATAAATAAGTAAACAAAAATGAGAGGACCACTGCCACCCACTGGAGTGGACGTGCAATTACAATTTTTTTCATGCTCAGAAAAAAAAAAAAAAAAAAAAAAAAAGAGCATCCCCAGGTCATATATGTACTTTCCCCCCCCCAAAAAAACGGCTTTAGGGGGACTTGGAACTCATCCCAGCTGGATTTGGGCGAGGGCCCAGGTACACGCCGGAGCGGGCGGCCGACAGTCACAATCTTGCGGGGCTTTGCAACGAGTACTCACAGAAAGTGCAAGCAGGAGAAACTCACGCAAGGTGGCGGGCGAGGAGAAGACCCAAACTCAAACTGGGATTGGAACCCCCCGCACTACGGAAAAGCCAAAAAGTCCAAAAGGGGCCAAAAAGGCACACTCACCCCATGAGCAAGGCACAGCTGCTGAAGACGAAGAGCTGATGAAGATGAGCAAGCGCTTGTGAGCTCGGCGGGCCGTGGGACGCCCGCTTTTCAGGAGGAGACGTGTGACGTGATGGGACGCCACGCGCTGCGAGCCCTTGCGACATGAATGGGGCCTTTATTGTGACGTGCTTCACTTTCGCAATCACTCCCTCCGAAAAGTAGCGCTCCAAAACAAATTCCTGAACGCATGAAGACAATCGTCAAATTCACATGGCATAAAACAAACTACGGGACGCCATTTTGAGCAGCATGCAAGTAAACGTCACTCAAAGGCGCGGCCCCGCTGAGCTCCACATTGAAAAAGGAGCCGAGCGCACTGCGGCACATCTTGATATATGAAAGACGATCTAAGATGATTGGAGGAGTGAGAGGGCTTGGGTTGCACAAGTGTGCACCCCCTCAAGCACAGGAAGTGTGACGGTGTTCAGAATGACACATTCAAACACGAAAGGAAGCGGCGCTCACCTGCCGTCATTTCAAGTGCATTCGCCGAGTCCAAATCAATTTCGGATGTTCTAGTAGGCTCTTGCTGATTTTTTTTTCTTCTAACAGAAGGTTGAAGCAGTTGTGCTGACATTGACAGAAATTTGGAACAGTTCGTACTTCCCTCCACATTGTATACAATAACCGCAACAATCATGCATACAAAAAAATGTTCGATTTCAGCCGCGTCATTCTGGAGGACATCGGCTGCGATGATCTTCTGCGGTGACGACAATCCAGCTTTCATCAGGCCCTCACGTGTTTGTTTTCTTTTCCTTGTACAATAAATGCAGAACGATAAGGCCTCCTTGCATGTTGCCACATTACCTGGAAACATGAAGATCTGAATTTTTTGCCAAACGTACCGAATGGCCAGAAATCTCTGAGGGCCCTTCAGCGTTGCCGCGGCCCTCCCTTTGTAATCGGCTTGTGGTCTTTTGACCCATTTTGGAGATACGTGGTGGTGTCATGTGCCAGCCGTCCTCTCCCGCCTGCCTTGTAACGCCTTGTAAATTCCTCTCGACTCTCCAGCCAGCCAACTGATCCTTTTGGTCAGGTTTGTGGAATTTTGCTTTGTCTTGAACATATTTAGTTTGGTTTCACATTCCATTCCTCTCGTTCATGCCTTGTAAAACAAGGTAGGTTTTCATCTTGCCTATTCTCATCAGCCCTGTCAACCGATCGTCTCCCTCCAGCCACTTACCCAGGTGTGCCTCGTTATCTCGTCAATTTGTATTTTGATCCCTAAGGTCATCTGACCTATGGTTTGATAGATCACGATGTCATGTAGTTGTTCTTATGTTTAGATTTTTACGAAAGATGAGAAGGGAAAAGAGGCAAGTGAATGTTCGCTCCTTGTGCTGTAACCGCCGTAAGCTAACTTGGCGGTAGCTCATGTGAGCGTGGCTTCTTAACGCGTTTCGCCACGCCGCTCACTCGCAAGAAATGGAGCCTCACACACCTTCATTCTGCTTACAGAGGTTCCAGTGAAAGATGACTCAGCTTCTGCAGCCCCACAGTGGCCCCACTCGATCTAAATCTGCTACTGCAATTGGGAACATTGAAGTTCAGGACCCCGGGGGTGCCCTCGCCGTGGCTGACGGCACCAGCGACCCACAGATACGAGAAAAGACGCGATACGTTAGCGCCATGTTGGAACCCGGGCATACGTGGCGGCCATATTGAAAGGGGCAATGAATTGACACATAAAACACCGGCACAGACTTTTGAAATAAAACTCTGCCTATTATTTGTTTTTTTTAATTGATTAATCAATGTGATATTTACATGAATATTATTATTAAAGGTAATTTTAGAAAATACCTTATTTCAGTAGGGTACATCAAGATGCGGGTGGCCCTGTGGGCCAGTGGTTAGCGCGTCGACCTCATAGTTTGCATGTTCTCCGCGGGCCTGCATGGGTTTTCTCCGGGCACTCCGGTTTCCTCCCACGTTCCAAAAACATGCATGGCAGGCTGACTGAACACTGCAAATTGTCACGAGGTGTGAGTGTGAGCGTGGATGGTTGTTTGTGTGTGCCCTGCGATTGGCTGGCAACCGGTTCAGAGTGTCCCCTGCCTACTGCCCAAAGACGGCTGGGATAGGCTCCAGCACCCCTCGCGACCCTTGGGAGGATAAGCGGATCGGAAAATTGGACGGCTGGAAATCAAGATGCTATAGCACACCCACTTTGCAAATACATATATGCTTATATTTATATTACACTCTGTACTGTCCATTTTTTGTACATGCAAATACTTGTTTTTTCTACTTTCACCTTTTCATAATTTTTGCTGCTTTTTTTTGTACATGCAAATACTTGTTTTTTTCTACTTTCACCTTTTCATAATTTTTGCTGCTGTAAATTGCGAATTTCTCCATAGTGAGACAAATAAAGGTTTCATCTTCTTTGAGACCTGAGCAATAATCAGTACCCAAGACATCGATCTCAATTGCAAAAAGGTCGGTGACCCCTGCAGTGCAGTAAATCATGTTCGGTGGTTTTTAAGAACATTTTCCGTGATGCTCATTTCCCCAAAAGTTCCAATTAGCATGCTTGCTACTGAAACTGAACCTGTTGTGTCTGCTGGCCGGCCTGAGGCTGATCAGCTGGAAGCATATTTGCGCAATCCGAAGCGTGAAATGTCTGTGACAACAGCCAATCAGGCTCAAGCTTCTCATTCTATCCTTTGCAAGTTGAACGAGTCACCAGAAAGTCATGGGAGGAAGTCAGCAATGGGCAGCTGAGGGAGTTCCCTCATGAGCAGCGGGGCCACTACGAACGAGCAGCGAGACGGCAGACTTGAAAGCAGCAACGAGTGCTGTCGTCTTTTGAACCCGGCCATTTGCATGCATCATGTTGTGTACACCGTGTTATGTAGCGCAATCCAAACTTCAAAATAAAATATAATGCAATGCATCTTAATGCTCATGTTAACATGTTTGAAGGAATCTTCATTACCCCCTCGAGGTGCAACAGGGGTTAATTTGGGTCTTGCACAACCATTACAACCCTCAAAGCTGCACAGGATTTCATTGCGTTATTTGAAATTGTTGAGCATTTGTTGTACTGTTGAGGAAAACACGTTTCAATCGTTTTCTGTTGTCGTTTTCATTTTCGTTTGGAATATACTTTGCACGTTAATCAATTTGTTAAGCAAGGACATTAAGAAAATCTCTAAATGATTACGTCTCGGGACATTGAGAGGCTCAACTTTTTCTGCGGTCACCTAGTTAATGCACGTTGGAGGAATGACGACAAAATGTGGAACCCATGTCAAGTGTCCTTCCCTAATTTGCTCAAAAGGTCGGCACCACTTGCATCTTTCAACAAGCAACACACAAAAAAAAAAGTTTGCTTTTTATTTCCTTTGGGCACTTACAACAAAATCAGTAGTTTTAAAAACAGGAGCCTCCACCAAATGGTTGACATTTCACTTGATGAGGTTTCAGAAAAATAAATAAATAAAATGCGGGGAAACCCCAAAAGAGAAAATGTGGGAACATTTGCTTAACAGGGTGTTTGTATCCTTTTATATTATTAACTCTATCCTTTTTCATCTTCTTAACTGTGAACCTTTATTTGAAAACAACAAAATAAATGAAGTCCTTTAAAAACAAGTTGATCTTACACGTGTGGTCCTCCAAAGCGAATCTCTTGCTTCCTCTACTGATTGGTCGAGTGGATTGTTACAGGGTTCATTCAAATCCCCTAAAAAGTCTCCTTCAAACAAACAAAAACAAAAAAAGATTTTCCATCCCGCGCCGCAGAGAAAGCCTTAGAAAAGTGGATGACAAGCGCTCCTGTAAGGCACACCGCCGACCCCGCAGGAGTTTGGACCCTGACGACGCCTGCCAGCCACGCTTTTGGCATCTTAGCGTCTTGAGCTGCGACATGCTAACTGGCTAACTTTAGCAAAGGCCGCTGGGCCGCCGCAGTGGACGACAGCCAAGGCAGTCAACTGCAGCATTGTCCAGGTGGATCCAAGGACGTTTGTGGATTTGAGAGAACATTTCTGTTGTATTTCACTTATGAGGGTGGACCGAGGCAGTTGCTCCACTAAAAGGGACTTCGCAGTGGTTCGGGAGTTTTCAATTCATCGCTTCAGCCTGCGTGTTAACTGGTGGGGAAAGAGTGAACGATTGTGAACGCAGTCCTCCTTTCATCATTTCTGACTGCCGCTTCACCAGAAGAATGTTTTCATACACGTCGTTTGCTACAAGGGCTTGATTCAATTCATTGAATAACGACTAATATAGCCAACAAACTAAATAACCTGCAGTGTTGGGAATCAGTGACTTGTTCGCTACTCAGTGTACAGGGATTTTTTGTAAAGAGGACTACAGGGTTGACTCTAGGGATGGAACGATTATTCGAGTAACAGCTCCGAGCCAACAGTGGCAGACTAAATAACCGGCTGTGTTGGGAATCATTGTGTCATTCCCTGCTCCCGAACCATCACGAAAGGATGTGGAGGGCTGAAACGATAAATCGAATCTCTGCCTGGAAGCTTGGCAGAGATCACTTGCTGTGGCCTCCCGTGTGAGGTTTGGTTGATGAACGTCCTTACGACAGACCTGCTGCGCCTCCACCTTGATGACAGCTCAGAGTCAACCTTGGCATGATACGAGTGCATCAGAGGTCCGAGCGCTCTGTACTTGTGACGCTGTGAGGTCACTTCCTGCGTGGCGGGCGGACGCCTCGGTGAGGGGAAGAAGAATGAGGGTTCCGGACAGCAGGGGGCGGCAAAGAGCAGGAATGCAGTTGATGGGGGCGAGGGAGGTGCTTTAGCCGTTTTGTCCTTCCACTTGAGCGCAATCTCCAGGTGCCGCCAGGCCCCGCAGGCGGCCCGCTGGGCGCCCATTTGCATCATACCTGATGGAAGCAGTCGCCAGGCACCCTTCTGGGAAAGCTTCGCCACCGCTCGGCTCTCTTGATGGCCTCCGACACGATGCACACGGACGATGTCAGCGCAACCAGGAACAGCAAGTCTGACAAACAGTGGCACGCAATAAACTTGAAGTGGCCGCACAGCATTTTCTGGCGGCATTATTACTGGCAAATCTTGTCAGCTTTGTGCCCCAAGCAAAGGGTGGAAAAACCCTGCTCGAGAAAAGCTTTTTTATGTGCTCACCAAACAGGCTGAGGCTCTCGGTCTGGAAGACGCGCTGCAGCGGAGGGAAGTAGATGACCAGCAGTTGGCCCATGATGGACGCCAGCACCGCCAGGCAGAACGTGCGGTTGCTGCAGAGGCCCATCTCGTGAACTAGACGGGTCTGAACACGCACAGACACACACGGAGTCAGACAGACACACAAACTGATTATCAGAGTAGTGCACGGCCTCAGAGTGAATCTCCCAACGCGAGCCTGATGTCCATGGTCTTTTTTTTTTTTTTTTGCACAACTGCAATGATGAATCGGCCAAAGAGTGACTTTGCAACAAGGGCTCGGTGGCGAGGGAACACCGTATGCCATCCTTAAATCGTATCAAAACATCCCTGGTGAGAGATGCACACCGGGTTGATTTTTGTTTTTTATTATGGCTTCAAACGTTTGGGGTCAGGCGTGGGAAACCAGAAACAAGGTCACCTGCGAGCGCGAGCTGAGCGCATTGAACATGTCGAAGAAGACAAAGCAGGTGAAGGTCATGGTGGTGTCTCGGGGGGTGATCTCGTTGTCCTGCAGCTGCAAAACACAAGATGGAGACGACAAAAATGAGGACCGGGAGAATGGAGGAAGGGGGCATCAGGTCAAGGGGGTTGTGACCTCTCTCCAGAAGACGAAGAGCGTCCCGCAGACGATGATGAAGGCCGACACCAGAACTTTAACAATGAGGCCGCGTGTGATGATGCTGTCGGAGACGTTGCGAGGAGGCTTCAGGATTACCGCCCGGTCCACCGGCTCCACACCCAGACTGAACACAAGCAAGCACACAGAAAAGGATAGCCACGTAGCATTTCAAGACAGGCTTAGGCTTTCAAACCTGGGTTATAATTTCAAGATCAGGTAGGGGCTGAAAGTTGGGTTCCAAACTTGGGTTAGACTTCAAACAGGGGTTATGGGTTCTAAGTAGGGTTTCAAGCTCAGGATAGGGTTTGAAACGAGATTTAGGACGGCGGTTACCTTTGCGCGGGGGGCCCGTCCATGATGATGTTGATCCACAGGATCTGCATGGCGTTCAGCGGGTTGGGGAAATTCATCAGCGTGGCCAAGGAGATGAGTGTCAGTGCCGCAATACTCCTGCAGGGGGCGTTAAGGAGGTCATGGAAAACTGAAGCCCGCAAAAAGCGTTTGTTTCTCTTTTGCATTTTGCAGTCCGACAAAACTCATATTCATTGCGGCTCACGCGCAGATGGTTTGAGCACAGAAATTGAACATCTGTATTCCAATAAACAATTAACCACAGCAAATAGAAATTAAAAAAAAAAATCTTTAGTTCTTTTCAAAACAAGCTCAAGGACTATGAAGCCGGCATCGTATCTCTCTCTCTCTCTCTCTTTTTTTTTTTTTGAGGACGAGACAACTCACGTGCTGAGTTGGAAGCGCACAAAGTTCTTGATGTTGTTGTAGATTCCTTTTCCCTCCTCGATGGCTGACCTGCAAGCACCGGAAAGCGAGACACGCGTAAGGAAACACGCGGGCCCACTTGGAACTCACTGCCATCTCTCACTCGTTCCCCACTCCGCAATCATTACGCGGGGATTCTTAGCAGCGGAACTATCTAGGTCATCCCAGCGTAGCGCCGAACGAATTCGGGAAGGCGGCGAGGAGGCCCGTCGGGCTCACATGATGGTGTTGAAGTCGTCGTCCACCAGGATCATGTCGGCAGCTTCCTTGCAGACGTCGGTTCCGGTGCGGCCCATGGCCACGCCGATGTCGGCCGCCTTCAGCGCCACCGCGTCGTTCACGCCGTCGCCCGTCATGGCCACCACGGCGCCGATGTTCTGCAGAGACTACGCCGCGCAAAAGGTTACCACTTCATGCTTCTTCCTCTTGGGAGCTTCATGTCATGGGACACCTGTGCCTGAATGTCCCTGTGTTTTTTGTCTGACTATGCGTGCGTGTGTGTGTGTGTGTGTGTGTGTGTGTTTGTGTGTGTGTACTCTTCTGTTTCTTTGCGTTTGAACGTCTGTTGGTGTGTGTGTGTGTGTGTCAATTTGACTGTGTGCACATTTTTTCTGTGTGCAGCTGTTTGGATTGGACGAGTGTGGTTTTGTGTTCACCTTGACAATCTTGAGCTTGTGTCTGGGGCTGGCTCTGTAGAAGACTGAGATCTGTGCACACACACAGGAGAAGATGTGCTCAGGAGCGCCACCTTCACTTCAGTGTGCCTCGGATCTTACGTGCGAGTGCGTCTTACGCGGGGGACAATTTGCGAGAGCTGCTGCAGGTCCAGACGGTCCACCTCCTCTCCCGACAAACACTCCCCTCCTTTGGACCAAAGGCCCAGGCGACTGGCTGCACACGCACACAGTTGAGAGAAAGCCGACGTTACTGCGTTTTTCTGTTCCCCAAAAACAAAGAGCCAGTTTTATTTTTTTTAACCAGTAAGAGTGCGGCCTACGCATACGCATGTGAATGATCAGAGTAACGCCACCTCTGCCCTCATTTGAGCCAAGAAAATTAAGTCTGTTTTGTCGTCAGTCATCCAGGTTGACGTCGTCCATTAAAGTTGACTGAGCGGTTGTTGCAGAGTCCCACCCACAATTTACCAACCCACAACGGTGAGCCCAAGCAGCTGGCGCACAGGTGCTGATGCCTGCAATGAGATGCTATTCCTTTTTAAACCTATTGTGGTCAGCGCGTTTTTTTTTGTGGTAGTGTGTTAGAGGAACGGCATGACGAGCAGAGAGTAGAACATTCTCCACAAACAATAGTCCAGTAGACTTTGAGGTTTGCGGTGAGTCGCGGAAGGTGCTGCATGCTTCTTGCGCCTGTCTGACCTATGGAGGCGGCGGTCTCCTGAGAGTCTCCGGTGATCATCTTGATGGCGACGCCCGAGCTGATGAGCGTGCCCACCGCCTCTTTGACGCCCGCCCTAGGCGGGTCGATGATGCCCACCAGGCCCAAGAAGGTCAAAGTTCCCATCTCATACCCGGAAGCGAACGCCAGAACTAAAGGGAGAGAGACAAGAGTGGGTGAGGCGAGGCGGCGTGGCACGGTACAGCAGCCGACGTGAGGTTGGCGTTGGCCTGCGGACCTCGGAGGCCGGCGGTGCCCATGTAGCTGATGTGCTGCTGGTAGAGCTCCACCTGCTGCTGGGTGAGAGGAAAGGCGCTCCCTCGGCTGTTGTAGGAGCTGCAGAAGCGGATCACTTGCTCATAGGCGCCCTTCACAAAGAGCACGCCCGTCTTGTCCTGGCGTGCGGGCATCACGTGAAAATACAGTTATACTGCTTTGCCAGGTGGCCAGTGCTCAAACTGTTCTCAGTTGGATTAAAAAAAAAAAAAAAAAAAAAAAGGCAAAACAAAATATAAGTTGCAAAAAAAAGGATAAGTCGACAATCTTTATCTGTTGGGGCCATCTCACACGGGGGAAAACAAAGAAACAAACACCGGGAGTCACGAAATCTGGAGAACATCGCATATTGTTGTTGTTGTTTACCGATATGTATAAGAAACTATAAAGTGTGTTGCATTTATGAAATCAATGGACTGCTACGGAGACTAAAATCTTTTTTCTGCATGTATCAAAAACATTTTCAACTTGAAAAAAGGCTTTGCACTCGGTGTCCATTCGAGTCCTCATATTCATGAAAATAAAGCGCCATGTGAATGCCGTTCAGTATTGAGAGTGTCGGCGCGCACACCACCACCGAAAGTGTTCAACGTCTGATTTCCTATCTGTATGTGTGAGGACCATTACAGATGATGGAAAATGTCTTCAGATTTGAAAAAAATCCTTCTGTGAGTACCGGGCCGTAGCTCAGGCCGGCTGCGTCCAGTTGTGCGTTGGATGACATTTGAAAACCAGCGCATGCAGATACGCAGCTGGTTTCAGAAAGTTCACGTTTTCTCTTGCAACACGCGGCGCGGTCATGCCCCGTAGACGTTAGCCACGTTACGCACCTGCTGCGTGCGGTGAACGCAGCGCACCGCCATCCACTTCTTATCGGAGGTGAAGGGAACCTCTTCCAGACGTACGTACTCTTGCTGGGCGCCTTCCAGGCCCATCTGCGACCCCGGCGGGAACAGGAGGCCGGCAATATGGAATGAGAGGCGATTGTCCGTTTATTTGGGGTCACAGTCAGAAAGGCCCTCTGGAGGAAAGCGTGACGACGAGGTGGCCCGCGACAAAAAGGAGTTCGACACCCCTTAACTTCCGGCGGCTGTATGAAAAGGCCTCGGTGATGATCAGGGGGAAGGGGGGGGGGCGCATTCCACATGATGCGTCCTCCTACCTTCATGGCGAGGGCCATGAGCGCTCCCTCTGTGGGCCGGCCCAGCAGAGTCCCGTTCCTGATGACCGAGTCGTTGCAGACGGAGCCCACCTTAAGACACGTACGCAGACGTTACAAGCCAGTCATCCATCTATCGCTACTTCTTTCCTGATTATTTAGTCATGGACTGACCTCCACAATTTTGCTGAGCGAAGGGTGAGAAAAGCCGTGGACAATTTCTCCGTCGGCTAAAACCTCTCCGTTGCCGTTGTAGCCCACACCCGTCACCTGGACCGCAACACAAATTATCGCAGTCAGCAACACCAAAAAAGTCAAATCAGGAATCCATTTCGGCTCATTTTTACCTCAAGTGCTTCAGTGTCAATCTCACAGGAGACTTTTAAATACAAACGACTCTTGCATACATTCGTGCTTGAGGAATTTGTTTGTGTTTGATTGAATCAGCGGAAGGGGCCAACTCAGACAAGAGTTGTCATCTTCTTGTGGTGAGTGACAACAAAGGTTGCCAGATAAAACACAGGCCACTTGAGCCGAGACAATTGCCTGGCCTTCACTTAAAAACGTAGAAACTGAGAAGCTCACATGAGGAGTCTTGGAACAACCTTTGAATATGCGGCTTCTCACCTTTAAGCTAATCAAGATCAAGGTCCCCTACATATTACGGAAGGCAATTCCAAGTCGTAGGATGAGAAAAAGCTCGAGCAGGTGAAAAAGAGGAAGAAAACAACAGGGATAAGGCCAACACAACTAGAGCCACCACCCCCAAAAAAAAAGAACAAATAGGAGAGCAAGGAGAGGAAGAAGAGCAGCAAAAGGAGGACTAAGTAAAAGAACAAGAACAAGAGCAAGTACAGGTTCACGCAAACGGAGAGGCAGAAGTAGCAGAGGAACGGGGAGAGGAGCAAAAAGAAAGAAGACCAAGTTGGAGAAGAAGAGGAGCAAAGCGAACGCCAGAACTAAAGGGAGAGAGACAAGAGTGGGTGAGGCGAGGCGGCGTGGCACGGTACAGCAGCCGACGTGAGGTTGGCGTTGGCCTGCGGACCTCGGAGGCCGGCGGTGCCCATGTAGCTGATGTGCTGCTGGTAGAGCTCCACCTGCTGCTGGGTGAGAGGAAAGGCGCTCCCTCGGCTGTTGTAGGAGCTGCAGAAGCGGATCACTTGCTCATAGGCGCCCTTCACAAACAGCACGCCCGTCTTGTCCTGGCGTGCGGGCATCACGTGAAAATACAGTTATACTGCTTTGCCTGGTGGCCAGTGCTCAAGCTTTTCTCAGTTGGATTAAAAAAAAAAAAAAAAAAGGTCAAACATAAATGTTGCAATAAAAAGGACCGAAACTGCGAAGTCAGAAGTCGACAATCTTTATCTGTTGGGGCCATCTCACACGGGGGAAAACAAAGAAACAAACACCGGGAGTCACGAAATCTGGAGAACATCGCATATTGTTGTTGTTGTTTACCGATATGTATAAGAAACTATAAAGTGTGTTGCATTTATGAAATCAATGGACTGCTACGGAGACTAAAATCTTTTTTCTGCATGTATCAAAAACATTTTCAACTTGAAAAAAGGCTTTGCACTCGGTGTCCATTCGAGTCCTCATATTCATGAAAATAAAGCGCCATGTGAATGCCGTTCAGTATTGAGAGTGTCGGCGCGCACACCACCACCGAAAGTGTTCAACGTCTGATTTCCTATCTGTATGTGTGAGGACCATTACAGATGATGGAAAATGTCTTCAGATTTGAAAAAAATCCTTCTGTGAGTACCGGGCCGTAGCTCAGGCCGGCTGCGTCCAGTTGTGCGTTGGATGACATTTGAAAACCAGCGCATGCAGATACGCAGCTGGTTTCAGAAAGTTCACGTTTTCTCTTGCAACACGCGGCGCGGTCATGCCCCGTAGACGTTAGCCACGTTACGCACCTGCTGCGTGCGGTGAACGCAGCGCACCGCCATCCACTTCTTATCGGAGGTGAAGGGAACCTCTTCCAGACGTACGTACTCTTGCTGGGCGCCTTCCAGGCCCATCTGCGACCCCGGCGGGAACAGGAGGCCGGCAATATGGAATGAGAGGCGATTGTCCGTTTATTTGGGGTCACAGTCAGAAAGGCCCTCTGGAGGAAAGCGTGACGACGAGGTGGCCCGCGACAAAAAGGAGTTCGACACCCCTTAACTTCCGGCGGCTGTATGAAAAGGCCTCGGTGATGATCAGGGGGAAGGGGGGGGGGCGCATTCCACATGATGCGTCCTCCTACCTTCATGGCGAGGGCCATGAGCGCTCCCTCTGTGGGCCGGCCCAGCAGAGTCCCGTTCCTGATGACCGAGTCGTTGCAGACGGAGCCCACCTTAAGACACGTACGCAGACGTTACAAGCCAGTCATCCATCTATCGCTACTTCTTTCCTGATTATTTAGTCATGGACTGACCTCCACAATTTTGCTGAGCGAAGGGTGAGAAAAGCCGTGGACAATTTCTCCGTCGGCTAAAACCTCTCCGTTGCCGTTGTAGCCCACACCCGTCACCTGGACCGCAACACAAATTATCGCAGTCAGCAACACCAAAAAAGTCAAATCAGGAATCCATTTCGGCTCATTTTTACCTCAAGTGCTTCAGTGTCAATCTCACAGGAGACTTTTAAATACAAACGACTCTTGCATACATTCGTGCTTGAGGAATTTGTTTGTGTTTGATTGAATCAGCGGAAGGGGCCAACTCAGACAAGAGTTGTCATCTTCTTGTGGTGAGTGACAACAAAGGTTGCCAGATAAAACACAGGCCACTTGAGCCGAGACAATTGCCTGGCCTTCACTTAAAAACGTAGAAACTGAGAAGCTCACATGAGGAGTCTTGGAACAACCTTTGAATATGCGGCTTCTCACCTTTAAGCTAATCAAGATCAAGGTCCCCTACATATTACGGAAGGCAATTCCAAGTCGTAGGATGAGAAAAAGCTCGAGCAGGTGAAAAAGAGGAAGAAAACAACAGGGATAAGGCCAACACAACTAGAGCCACCACCCCCAAAAAAAAAGAACAAATAGGAGAGCAAGGAGAGGAAGAAGAGCAGCAAAAGGAGGACTAAGTAAAAGAACAAGAACAAGAGCAAGTACAGGTTCACGCAAACGGAGAGGCAGAAGTAGCAGAGGAACGGGGAGAGGAGCAAAAAGAAAGAAGACCAAGTTGGAGAAGAAGAGGAGCAAGCGGTGCACGGCGTCGTAACGAAACGGTAGCGTCGTCCACCTCGGCGTGGACTCCATCCGACGTGAACATCTGCGTGACGGTCATCTCGTTCTTGGTCAGCGTTCCCGTCTTGTCCGAGCAGATGACGTTACAGCAGCCTGCCGACGCACACACGCCAAGTCACAAGGCCGCGTGTTGACGGCGCCGTGCTTCTTTTTGTGCGGGGGCGTGCGTACTCAGCGTCTCGACGATGGGAAGCTTCTTGACGATGGCTCGCTTCTGGACCATGCGCATGACGCCCAGTGCCAGCGTCACCGTCACCACGATGGGGAGACCCTCGGGAATGGCCGCCACCGCCAGACTGCGGGGAGAGTGCGCCGTTAAGCCTTCATTTCAACACCACGTGTGCCCCGGCTGGCGTTCTCGCCATCACGGGGCGCAGTAAGGTCACAACCGGGGGTAAAAAAAAAAAAAAAATGGTGATCGCTCATTTGAAATTCCTGCCGCAACTAAAGCCACGACAAATATAATGCAGACGAGAAAAATAGCTCAGAAGAGTTGAATTTGGGAGCAGACAATGCGCCATTTTCTGGATCAGAACCAAAATCACATCCGGTTTTAGTTCAAGAGTTATGGTGCTTTTCGGCCATATTCTGCGATGATCTTCCATTTGTGATCACAGGAATTTTTTTTTTTTACGCCAAGGCATTTCAATCCAAAAAAATATACAAGAAAACAAGACGGGCCAATCATTTTCCCATGATTGTACGCAAGCTGGGCATGAATAGAAAAACTAGCTCGGCAAAAAACCCGCTTGGACCTGCGTCTCCCGCGAGCGACACAGCAAATGAGCGGCGCTCTCGTTGCCAATGACGGGCTACCTGACGCCGATGGTGAACATGTCCAGGATCCTCTTGCCCTGCAGCCAGCCCACCAGCATGATCACCCCTGCAGGAAGCACACGCGGCGCTCATCAGCGTCAAGAACGACAACAGAGCGAGACAGGGCGACTGACCGATGATGCCAAAAGAGTAGAGCGAGAGCTGCTTGCCCAGCAGGTCCATGCTCTTCTGCAGCGGCGTCTTGGGAGCCTGCCGCGCCGCCACACACACAAAAAAAATAAATAAATAAAAAAACAATCAAGTAAGCGGGCGCGGTCGTCTCAGCGCCGAGCTGCGCTCGCCACCGGGGACGCACCTCCTCCGCCTGCATCATCTTGAAGACCTCACCAAACTCGGAGTTTTCTCCGGTTCCGATGACAATCCCCTGCCGCGCAGCCAAAAACGAAAAAAAAAAAGGTGTGTTAGGAGAAGGACAGCAGCAGATGTGACCACATGCATCCTAAGAGACAGACGATGCAAATCTGGAGAATTTCAAACATCCTTTTTTTTGCCAGGTAAATTCTGAAGCGCAAAACGCAAAAAAGGTTTCCCCTCAAATAACAGCTGGATCGGTTTAACTTGCAGATGGTTTGTGGAAGAACACAAAGAAAAACAGCACGGTCTTGTATAAATACTCAAAGAGAAGGTCAAGCAATAAATAGATTTTACAAAGTGAAATAAATTACTGCACGTTGGCACAGGTGTCTATGGGGCTGAATGTGTCCAGTTAAGGGGCGTGGCCAAGTGAGTCACGCTTCAGTGCAGCTGGCCCGCATGTGAGCGCAGTTATGGCCTCCAGCAGCTCCGGGCAAGTGCTCTCCTTTCCTGATTTCTTTAAAATCGGCTAAATTGAAGGAATATCTGCCTGTCCTTCCGTCTGTCTGTCCGTCCGTCTAACTCTGTACCTTGGCTTTGCCGCAGCGCACCAGCGTGCCCATGAATGCGATGTTGGCCCGGGAAGCGATGTCGCCGTTGTTGGCGGCTGGCTGAGGCGCCGTGGACTTGGAGCAGGGCGCCGTCTCCCCCGTCAGACTGGACTCGTCCACCGAAAGGTCGCTGGCCTGCCACGTCGGGGTGGGGGCGGGGAGGCTCAGCGGCAGAAGCCACGTGCGGTGTTATAAACACGGGGGTGCGCTCACCTCAAAGAGGCGCAGGTCCGCCGGCACGCGCTCTCCCACCGCCAGGCACACCGTGTCTCCCGGAACCAGTTCCCTGGCCAGCATGTGCTGCAGCTGACCGTCGCGGATGCTGAAACCATCGTCATCATGAACAGGCGCACACGTAAGGAATCTGTTTAGGCAAGTAAGTGTACAGCGCTCGCCCACGATATCGCCGTGCGTCATTCACACCCTGCTTTTACGCAGAGTGTGAATGTTACTTCCAAACATTTCCCACTTATGAAGGCTTCTGTGTTAGCGGAATTCTTTTATTTATTTATTTTTAAATGCTTCAGCAAGTCCCAGTTTACAGTTGTGGGCCTTCAGTGTCATGGGGGGCAGCACTGAGCTCTACCGGACAACACACGGCGTAATTAAGTACAAGAAAATGAAGTGGAGGAAATCCTCAAAGTGCGTGATCAGCCAGCAACTATTGTTGCATGCTACGTTTCGATATGTTGCCGCTCCGTGTTTTAAAGGGGACCTCGGGGCACCGCCATTTTGTACTGTACCGACCTCTTACTGTCGACTGAAACTGCTGTCAACGTGCCCTCAGCCCGGCATTGCAAGGATCACGGATGTTTTCTGGGTTCGGTCACGTGACGTTCACAAAGGAAGCTCAAGACACGGAGGATTATGCAGAGCGAGCATACCAGTGGCACTGTGGCGGGACCAGTTTTCCCAGCTCTTCCAGAGACTTCTCCGAGCGATACTCCTGCCCAGTAAGCAAAGAGACAAGCAGTGAGGTTTTCCACCATGCGCTTGCTTGGCATCCGCAGACTCACCTGGACGAAGGCGACCGTGACTACGATGATGATAGCCTGTTGGGAGACGCAGACGTAGCGGTCAGCGCTAAAGCTAACGCTAACAGAGTCAAAAGGGACGTGGGGTGCGCCTGTCGTACCACGGTGATGCTGATGGCGTCGTCGAACTGCCGCATGAGGACGCTGATGACGGCCGACGCCAGCAGCAGCAAGATCAGCGGGTCTTTGAACTGGAGGGGGCGGGGTACGCACAGTAGTTTAGGTGCGCTACTTTTTTTTTTTTTTTGCACAGCTGTCATTGTTACGCGCTGGTGAAAGATTCGTCTGCGTCTTGTTGTCAAAACCGTCAACAAGTCATAAAATAATAAAGTGCTCGAGTCTCCTGTAAGGGCGGAGACTCGGCGAGTGGAAACAAACATGAGGCCTGAAGGTCAAAGGGCAACAGCATTTACAAGGCACCAATCGACTTGTTGACTTTGGATGCGAGAGCGGGCGCCGGGCCAAGCGGACATGTTACGCTAACTTGGCCGGAGGGAGGAAAATCGCTTGAGACAAAAGCCATTAGTGGCGTGCACCCACAGCACTTTTTTTTGTTTTTGTTTTCACACCAAGGACGAGTAGCCTGAAGGAAAACAACACTTAGGCATCAAATATGGTTGTGTGTGCTCGTGCACGTTTATTCATTGCCCACATATCTCCCTTTGTGATCGTGTTTTGAGAAATTTCTCTAAGATCATATACAGTGGTAGGTACCTCTACCTACAAAATTAATTGGTTCTGGAAGAAATTTCTTCACCGGAAAAGTTTGTAAGTAGAGACGCGTTTCCCATGTAAATGCCCTAATTCGTTTCAAGCCCCCCCAAAATTCACACCAAAAATGTTTATGAAAGCATAAAAATGCACCAAAATATGTCACAAACATGTTAAAATCAGATCATTGCGCAATAAATGAGAGTTGTGCATAATGTAAAAAAAACAAAAACAAAGAATGGAGAATAAAAATGATGGTCATTTAAATGCGTCCTCATCGTTTTTTCAAAGTTAAACATTTGCGAATACAAGCCCACGCGCGCACCCACCCCAAACCAGTACTGCCGATTGCCAGGAACGGGATCGTGAACAGAAGCACATTTGCTTCGCTTGCGCCGAGACGGGTATGGCGACGAGGTTTCACCGGTACCTGCGTGATGTACTTCCTCCATAGTGGCTCGTCCTCGCTGATGTCAAATTCGTTCCAGCCGTGGTAGATCCTGCGTCGAGACACCTCGTCCTCACCCAACCCGTACTGAAGGTTCGCCTGCACGCGCACCAACACTCACCCACTTGTAATCTTGCCAAAACAAATAAAATTAAAAAAACTCCAAGAGTTTTCCGGCTGATACCTGCAGAGCGCACGCCACCTCGTTGACGGGCAGCTCGCTGGCTTTTTTGGAGCTCAGCACGGGAACCATCATGTCATCTTGGCTGTACTCGGCATCTGTGTGGGAAAGCTGCAAAACCCAACAAGTGCGCGCAAAAAAATGTCACTGTCGTCACAGTCATACGGGGAACACTCAAAAAGATCAGTACGGCACACCCGCGCATAGTTACGGTTGGGCTCTTGCAGATTTTTTTCCTTTTATTTTTACTCTGTTATGCGTGGGCGGGGGACCTATTTCCTTTGTTCTGGAGCAGCAAAAATAGTCTGAAAATAATTTTATTTGGGTGGCAAAATACTGTCTAGAGTGGGTGTGATATTAGCTGCATTGTAGCAGTGACGTGACAACATTTCCCCAAAAGGACAGCCTGTGAAAACACAGAGTGTGCCCAAAACATCCACAAGAAATTCCTTTGTAGTGATTGAGGAGGAGGGAACGGTCATTGATCACAAAAGACGCACTTCCGCACTGGCACGAATGTCCACGGGTGACAATTTGGTGAGACTCTCTCGTTAGTTGTGATCATCAACGGTTAACAATAGACCGTGACCACCCCGCCCACTCCCTCCTCCAAAAAATACAACTGGTTGTCCACTCGACAAAATGAAGCAAATGTTGCACCAACACATACAGGCTCATCCAATGCCAAGTCGAACAGCAGCTGTCTCAGATTTGTGACCGAGTCAGCGGGAGGTCGACGGCGCAAATGTCGCCGTTGGCTCACAACCAAACTAGAACTAAAGCGGGGCATCTCAGCCATAAGAGTTGCGCGGAACACAGCTGAGCCCAAGTTCCAAACAGCGAAACAAATAAAGTCTCCTTTTCTTGACTTAAGAAATTACGCCCGTTCAAAAATGCCATCTTCATCACCCAAAACCAAATCAGCTGGAGGAAAAAAAAAAAAAAATAACGTGATGGGACTCGATTTCAGCTTCATTAAATGAACAGCAGAGCCTGCGTTTGAAATGTAATCATTACAGACGATCAGGTTCATTTCATCGTGGCTGCCGAAATCATGATCACAAATCAAATTTGAGGAGTTGTGCAGCTGCGCTTTTTACTTTTTTTTTTTTTTTTTTTACAAGCAGCAGTGTTTGCCAAATGCTAACCTGGATGTCGGGTTGGGCCGGATGGCCTTCAAAGAAAACTTTTTTTTCACAGAAATACAATTCGGGACTCAATTGATGAATACATGAAACAGAAAAAAACCCGAAACAAACAATGACCATTTTTTTCCCCTCTTCTGGGATTTGCTTGGTTTCTCATGATAGCCAAGAAGTTTTAAAATAGTTTTTTTTTCCGCTGCATTTTTGGCATCAACCAAGAGCAACAAGAGCTGTTTTGATGCGATATGTTGACAAATGGGCCATCGTAAAAGAGGCTATCAAACCTCATGGATGGAAACGTGGCGGCGACCACGCCTTCATCAGCTTTCCGGTTGTACCGGTACGGCGAGATTACCTCGCCAAAATAGTAGTGACTTGGAAGCAGTGAGTCAAATGTTTACTATTTGCCGATAAGCGCCGGCTTTTGTGTAATGTGTACATGTTTTTGGGGAAGCGCCACCGTTTCTGTCATTCGGTACATTTGCGCGGCAGTCAATGTCGGAAGCATTCAGAATAACCCGTTTGCATGAATGAGCGGACAAGGTTAGTCCCTCATTTGATTAGATTTAAACGGCGACGCATGGACAACGTCGTGACACAGATGGACGGCGATTGCAACTTTGGTTATTTTCTACTTTTTACATTACACAATTGCATGCCAGACGTACGGACTCATACACACAGCATGTCGTTAGGCGCACTTCGCGCGTAAGATGGCCTCCGGTGGCTTCGCTTCTCACAAAGGCGATTGCCATCGCCGCGCACACAGGTACTTCCAGTACTACAAAGACGAAGATTCCTTGCAGGGTTCTTTGCTCAGCGACAGGCTCTGTGGCGTGATCGTTTGAGCAGAAAACTGGACTCAGGGCCTGAGCGGCGAGGATGGGTGAGAGAGCAATGGGCACTACAACAGCCCTATCAACAACAACAACAAATTCCAATTCTGAGGTTCCACCAAAAGAAATCAATCTGATGGTTAAAAATAAATAAACAGATAGCCCCCGCCAATAAATTTGATTGAGTGGAAGACATCAAGTCGGTGTTGAGTCTTACCTGGAAGACCTTGTCGCCCATTTTCATTTGTGCATGAGGGGCGCGGGCAAACCGGTTGCGTTCGCTCCGCACACTCGCTGCCGTTTGCTGACCACGAGAGCTTTGTGACTGGAAAGCTTCTGTTATTTCTTGCCTACCTTCACGGTTGTATTCACCTGAGACTGCTCCTCCCGACGCGTGCACGGGCACGAACACACACACACACACACACACACACACACACACACACACACACACACACACACACGCAAACACACACACACACACCGAGTCTATCAGGATGCTTTCTATGAGCGATAGAACACATTTTTTCCAAGTAGCAGTTGAGAAAGGTGATACTTATTTGCAGCAAAAGGAATCAAAATTTTGAACAGAAACGCCAACGCTGAACTTCTTTACAATGCCTTTAAGCAGTTTTGTGAACCTGCTTTTCACATTTGCAAATTCAACATGTTCTAAAATTTATTAGGGGTGTGACAAAAAAAAAATATTTGTAACAGTATTGTTTTGATTTAAAAAATGCGCGTGCATCAAATCGAACGGAATCGAACCGTTCCAGTGGTTCGTTTACAGTCCTGCCAAGTTCATTGATTGTAGGTAAAATGACAACAACAACAAAAAAATAATAATCATTACATCATAGCTTCTTGAAAAGATCTGTACTGTATCGAATCATAATCCCGCCGAGTCAAACACAATCAAATCGGTCCACTTTCCAATTGAACCACGTTTCGAAAACCTGAGTGAATCGTTTTGTTTTTATTAACAGAGAAATGGCACAACCCTACGATCGATCGATCGACTTTCTATTCAAATTGTAAGAAAAGATGCAGGCTTAGAAAGTTCCATGCCAAATTTCAACAAAGACAAAGTGGAACCGATCTGAAGGCGCCGTGGGCCATCCAACGCTGGCGAAAGTTGCACAGCTGCAATCCAGCTAAAATAATTGCGCTATTAAACGATCTCTAATCAGCCACGGGAGTAATTAATTAACTAATTAAATAATCAAACAATTAAAGAACGAATAAAGCCTGAACCAATGTGAGTCAAAGTGGCAAATATCAAGGCCGGTCGAGAATGGGTTCATCCCTACTTGATTTAATTTTTTTTTTTTTTTTTAAAGTACAGACTCTGAAGTGCACTTGAAAACCAAACTCCAAAGGATTTTTTTTTTAAACTGTCTTTTCTCAAACGTTTTACCTCAAGCAGCACCTCCAAAAATGACGTACGTAACATGCACTCGGAAAATCAACACGGCTCTTAGATATAGCAACATAAAAAACAGTTCCGTGTGATTCGATTCTGTTCAATGTGATTGGATGAGCTATCGTTTGAAGTAACAAGTAGAAGTCGGAAAGCAGAGTAATGCGGTGCGTCGGTAAATCGCTATTTTTATCGAAATGGATTTTTGGATGTGAGAGAGGTGTGAGTTTCTGCTCGGGTGCCAGATGGCAGGTGGCGGCGCTGCCGTAACAACAGAGGCGCCGCCGTGACGACAGAGACCCCACGCGCCAATATACACACCCGAGGGCGGTTCCCGCGCATGACGGGCGTTCACCGTGAATGCGCCGGATGGAATGTCCAACAATGCCGCGGAACCAGTCACATGCTTTGACAGCATGTCACTTTTTGGGCCGCATAATGGGGGCGGTTGTTTTTATTGCCCAGTGGGCGGGTTTGGACATCAGCAGGTAAGCCACAAGTTCAATAAGAAGAAGAAAACAAAAGAAAACAAAAGAAAAAAAAAAAGAAAAGGAAAAAGTCATCAGCTGTATTGGAAATGACGCCATATCCACTTTCTAAGTAGAGTTGCAACAGTTCAGCATTTCAATTCATAATTCATTCTCAAATGAATCGACAAAAATATTTGATGAGTGATTCACTGCTTTTTAAACCTGGATTCACGTCAAACTGTCTGCCTCTCAATAGTCACTTTTTTTTTTGGAGGGTGTCAAATTTCTGCCTCTCAAGAGTAAAATTTCTGCCGCTCAACAGAAAATCTCGGATTTGTCCAGCCGTCCAGGAAAACAGACTGATTTTCTTTGAAAAGACGACATTTGCAAACATCTGCTTGTTTTTTTGTTTTTTTTTTCCCTGATGGAAATTTCAGGCAAAAAGCAAACAGAATAATAAATTTTGGATTCAGCACATCCACATTGAAGTCACGTCTAGTTTCTCAGTAAAGGCACAGAAATTAAATGTTTGGTCCCCCCCGCACCCAATTCAGTGATTAATCAACAAAATAATGAATCGACTGACGATTAAAATAACCGGTAGTTTCCAGCCTCAATTGTTCATTCATCAATTGTTGCATCGCGACTGAGTAAACCTCCACATAGCAGAATCAAAAGGGCTTTTCTTACCATTGTCACTGAAAGGTACATTCACAAGCAACCTCGCCTCTAATTTTGCTGAAACGCTCCTCGGGACACGGTGAGCAATACGACGCATACATGCGGTGGCCAAACCTCGACCACACCCACCCAAAACCTGATACGCCATATAGGTATGTTACGCAAAAAAGTTCAAAGCGTCTAGCTTCCGAAACAGAATGCAAAATGACTGAAAAGTTCAACTCTATTAAATGTTGCATAACTACCGGAAAACTTGAGACGGTTCACTTGTTAGAGAATAATCCTCAAAGATTTTCAGCCATTAGCGGACTGGCTATATAAAACATTTTAAAACATGTATTCACCGGTCCAACAAATGTAAACAATATAACACAGTGCTCCACTAAAAGTGGGACAACCTCAGGAATAATATATACGCCTTAAAATGTAAACAGCATAATTTTGAAGTTATGATCCTTCAAAAGGCGTTGAAATCATTGGTACTTGCAAATGTGCATCATCAAACGCTGACATGATTGATTGCTCCTTTGGCGCGGTGGCTGGCGGCAACTTAGTCGCCGCTCAGGTTTTCGCAGACGGGCTGTGCAAACTCCGCTCGCATTTTCATGCTTTCCAATTCATCACTTGACTGCTACTTTGTTCAAACGATTCGACAGCTAAGTCGTATTGCCTCGTTTTGGACGACACAGCGTATCTTGCACAACGGCCTCCTCCACGTCGCTCGAGAGACGGCGCCGCAGAAGCCGTGGGAAGCAACGTGTCAAAATAAATTCTTTTTCGAAAGATGATGCCTTGTCACGGCTGCCCATCAGCCGCGTGTCCGCTCATTGTTACTGTTACTCTTCTTTCATTTTGGTGACTTCACGTTTCGAAACAATGTTAAATGGACAAGCTGGACTCCGATTGGCTGCAGTGACGCAGGTTTCTGCCGCCTCTGATGGAGTAGATATGCTCACGTCTCGTAGCTGGTCACGTGACATCACCATTCTCAATCATAATCACCCAGGCATACTAATACTGCTTTTTGGAAGATAATTGACCAGGTGGGGATTGTGGAGAATCTATCTCTCTGTGCAGCCTGCTACAATATGGGCCAGAGAGCGGTGGCTGGGGACCACTGACCTATATTATATTGTTCACATTTTGTCAAAAATGAGTAAAAGTACAGGGCTGAGCACCCCAAAAATGTATTCATTGGCGGCTCGTGTTGATGACTTGGCCATCAAGAGTGCAGATGTCAAGTCTATATTTAGAGTTCAGCATAACCAAGCTCATCTATTACTTTGGAGCCATCTTATAGCATCTAGGTCCCAAGGAACTATGTTGAGGTGAGTTGAAAAGCTTAATTTAGACAAAAGAACTTTGCTACTATCTTGATGCCGAGGAACCGTATTTACATGTGATGAGGAGCTCCATTTACACAAAAATCATGCTTCGCTTGCATCACGTTGCCAAGGAACTATGTTCACATGACTTAAGGAGCTTCACGTCAGGGCTGGAAACTAATTATTATTTTAATTTGCCGGTTATTTTCGAGAACCATCAATGAGATAAACGCAGAGCTTTTTCCACCATCTTATCCTACCAATGGGTAGTTAGAAACCTTTTTGTGAGGTGTCGAATATTGACGAATTTTTGTCAATTGTGGGGGAACATTGTGAGAAAATGCATCTTGAAAAGTAGTCAGTGGACCATAAGGTCAAAGAGATTAAAATCTCTGATCAAATTTCAAGAGTCCGTTAGTTTGTCAGTCCCAACAGACATAATGCGTCATCCATCAGGTATGCACACCGCGGGCGTCTCGGCTTTACAGACAAAATAACGATACTTCTTGTGGAGGGTCACTCCGGGTAGGTGGCAAAATCAAGCGAACACGTAGTGACCTACAAACATGCCAAGAAGCCCACCAAGTGAGCCGGCTAGCTCGCATCGGCACCTGCCTGGGGTGGCTAGGTAGCTGTCTGGCCGCCCGCAATCACTTCGACGGCGTCCGGGACCCCCTAGAACGAGCCTTCGGCTACCTACCAACTCATCTCGTTCGCGTGCTGACAAGTTCACGAGCGTCGGCCCCCATGGGAGGCCGTCAGTAGCATGCTAACAGCGGGAAGCTAAGGATCTGTCCGTCCGCCTTCCTCGCGCCGCGGCCGGTTACAAGCGTCGACCGGCCGGCCAACCAGCACGCCTACCCGCCTCCTCGTGACGTCTAAATTGTTCCACCGAGCTCAAGTCAACAGCCCGAGAAACGGAGACGCAGGTTTCACTTACCAGCCGCTCCCGTTTCTTTACCATCTTCTGCCAAATCGCACCGCAGCGCGGAGCCTTTGAGCTCGACAGACACACAGTTCATCCACCATATCACGCAGATCCACTCCTCTTCCGGATACGCTTTCAAAACAAAGCAACAACTTCCGCTACTGGATTGGTTGCTTTTGTTTTATTTGGTTTTGTTTTATGGACGGTGTGCGCATACATTAATCAACATCTAAAGCCGTGAAGAGGTGCTTCCCCCCAATCGATCAGAAAACTCATTTAATCTTGTCTGTGGTCCTAAATTTCCTCCGTAGATTAAGATATTTTGATCAGAGAAGAATAGAAGGGGGTGGGGCTTATGCTGCATTCCAGGAAGATGGGAAGTCGGACTTCTCCGAGTTCCGTTCCGACAAGGAAAAGTGCCCCTTTGAACTCGGAGGTCCAAGTCAAAAAAGTCACCGACCGACTTCCATGTGACATCATTCTTCGATGGAGAGCCCCAAAGAGACACAGACAAAAAAACAGTCGTTATTCAAAATAACACAAACTAACATGATTTGAACTGACTGAATGAAGAAATGCCATTGTCTTCCTCCATTATGTTGTTTGGTGAAATGAATGAAATGCTTTGAAAATAAGATATTCATTTATTTATATAAATGAAGGAAATTGTGACAAAAGTTTGCTGGAGGTCAAGATGAAATAACAAGAAACAATTTCTCGGTTTATTTTAAGTTGTCTGTTCTTTGTCTGTACTACTGGATTATACTGCCTCTCGGCGGCCAAGGTGGGCACAGCAGAAAGGCAGCAAAATGAATTGGATGCAGTGTGCATGATGCACTGTCTCACATCATTATTGTTGATTGTTGTTACGCAATATCTTATTCGGACCAACATTATACGTAGCTGTTTTTCCTTATCAGAAAACAAGCACGAACCATTCATTTCAATCGGAAAGATGATTTGCTATATGAGTGTTTGGAGGGACGGGTGTGCTCACCAAAGCAATGGCAAAGGTGACGTCGGATGGTGGGATTTGTAAACTTTTTTTTTTTCCTAATGCAATATTCCCGCAGTTGACCCTCACAGCGGCAGGTCGCACAGAGTGTAACTTCAGACTGGGTCACTGCCTTGTGTTGTAAATTATTTGATTGTAACTTTATTTTGTGAATTTATTTGTATCAGCATTGTGTTTGGGAAAATGTTATAAACGTGTTGTTATTTATGTTGTAGTGGTCATGTATGACATTTATTGATTTAAGTTTCCTGTTTGGAAAGGGTGGGAATTGATGGCAGTAAAACAAGGCACCAATTTCAGTTCTTTTCCCTGTCATGGTCTCGTCCTGGCTGACTTATTCATTACTTTTTTGTTTTTTTTCTGTCTTCTATTCGCGTGTGCAATGTCGGGCCCCTGTGAACTCAAAACCCATGAGGAATACAGCCCAGCCACCCCACTGCACCGAACAAATTTGATTAGTATTTCAAAGCACCGTTGTCGTTTTTTGAAAAAGATGAAGTACTGTATTCATTTTAATTATTCGATGAAGGGTTGTAGACTCAACAAGAGTGTTGAAAAACGGATGTGACTGCATTCGGAATCCTTCATCATTCCCGACTGCCAAATTTCCACACATTTAGTCCCAGAAATTACCACTGACATGCTTCGTCCAATAATCCATAAACACGAAGTGCGTGAGAGTGTATTTGTGTCCGTGTGTGTGTGTGTGTGTGTGTGTGTGTGCGTGTGTGTGTGTGTGTGTGTGTGTGTGTGTGTGTGTGTGTGTGTGTGTGTGTGTGTGTGTGTGTGTGTGTCTGTCTGTCTGTGTCTGTGTGCCACTTTAGGCGAGACCTTAGGTGACTCCCGGTGAGCGTTGTGTGCTCATCACCATGGCGATGGTCTGAAGGTCACAATGATCGAATAAAATGCAACTTTGTGCCTCATAAAGCCGCACTGCTGATCATGTGACCTTTTGTCTCCACTTCTATGTTTTATCGGTTGTGGTTCACAACAGGGGCGATTGTCGGATCAGTGATTTAGGGGTGCTGAGAAAGACACAGTAAATGTCACCATTTTGTACATTCCAGCGCAACAGCTAGCCTCTCTCATTTTGATTCAAAGATGGGAGAGAGGTTCGAGGAGAAGGATTGGGTGGAACAAATCTTTTTTTTTAGGCAAGATGGTGTTGTATTTTTATTCGTAAATATTGCATTTTCAGATAAGTACTGTTTCAGTACGGTTACACACTAATTAAGGGTGCGAAGATTTAAGTTAGCACCAAACATTGGTCCTATTTTTCTCAGGGCATTTTTACTTTGAGTTTGTATTTAACTAAAAAAAAAAAAAAGATGGTGTTCAACTTTGTTCTGCCGCAGGAGGAGTGGGCGTGTCATCTGACCTCCGTCCTCTCTCGTTTGATATTAAAAAAAAAGGAAAGGAGCGACTAACCGACTCCAAGAAGCAGAAGAGCAGGAATTAAGGTCCGTTTTTTCCTCTCTCTGTCCTAACTTTACAAACGCGGTGTCCTTGTCTGATCATCAACTCAAGTGTGCGTGTGTGTGATTGGCGGCCGGGGATGGGAGGGTCGCTGGGAAACGTCTGTTTAAACTGTATACCACTGCAAGGTAAAATGGGGAATTTTGAAATCATTTGCATTGTGAAACTTGGTGGCAATGGAAGCGATTTTGATGGGAAGCTACCACGTAAATGTAATTTTGTCATTCATGCAAAATTAAGACGAATGCTCGCCACATGTGACGACATTACAGGACCTCCTTTGCGCTCTCTCTCTCTCTCTCTCTCTCTCTCTCTAGAATGCTCGCCACATGTGACGACATTACGGGACCTCCTTTGCGCTCGCTCTCTCGCTCTCTCTCTCTCTCTCTCTCTCTCTCACTTTCTCTCCATTTTTAATTTGTATTTTTCTTCGTACTTCACGCGTTTGAATGTCACTCACAGCTAAAATTTAGTCTTGCGATATCCAAGGTACCACTGTCAAACAGTTCACGACATGCATCTGCTCCATTTAGTCCACACAAAAGGCTCAAGTGTGATTTTCACAAGCAGAATACATTAATTTCAATATAGTCAATGCTTTATGATAACATATTTCTTGGGAATGTTAGCAAGTTTGAAATGTGTTGAATTGTCTTGAAGATGACGACAATGTCCAAAGAAAAGTGCCGTTTCAGATGTTTTTCGTCACCCAATTGGCAATTTATCATCACATGCTCCTTCGCTCTAATTTTTCTTTTAATTTATTGCCTGTGTACAGCGAAGTGACCAATCCAACGACTGTAGATGTCGCGAAGAAGCGCCTGTTTGCTTGTGCCCGCGTGCATGTATGCTGTACGCATGCGCCGTCAAACACAAAAAGCCGCGTAGGCGAGCGCGGTCACGTGACTAGAGTGCAGAACGAGTGTTGAAAGCGACCGGAAGCTACCCAGTGAATGAGCGGCTCCTGTACCCACTGCCTACCCAGGTTCGACCACCAGCCTGACGACCACCCAGACGACGATGACGACGATGATGAAGACGACGCGGTGCGCGCGCCTCCTCGCGGCGGTCGGGACCACGCCGCTCAAACGCGCTTTCAGCCTGGACTCGAGCGCACCGCTGGTGCGCTCGCGGGGCTACGTGCACGGTCGCTGGGTGGGCGCCCCTCAGGACTTCCCGGTTTTGGACCCGGCCACCGGCACCGAGATCGCGCGAGTAGCCGACTGCGGTCCGGAAGAGGCCAAGCGTGCCGTGAACGCTGCCTACGAAGCTTTCCGACTGTGGAAGGACGTCACGGCCAAGGTGAGAAGATGGCAAGGAAGCGGGACTTCCCGAGAAGAAATTAGATCGGGGTTCTCAAAGTGTGCAAGAAGGACCATATTGGTACTCAAGTTTTAGTGGAACAACTATCTCGCTCCACAATATTAAAAACTCTACCGTGTTCCGAATGAGGACAAGCACTACATAAAATGTTGCTGTCACTGTCATTGAGTTGTGCTTGTTGGCTGCAGGAGCGCAGCACCCTGCTGAGGAAGTGGGCCAACCTGATGACGGAGCACAAAGACCATCTGGCCACCATCATCACCTTTGAAAGCGTCAGTCCCACCCGGTCCTCTTTCTGATTTAGCATCAACTAGTATTAGCATGATATATGTGTGGCATTATTGCAGTCCTTCTCAAGTAGTGGTGCGGACCCACACTTGGAGGTGTGTGACATGGTGTAATTGCACATCCTCTACAGTAGGTAGCAGTGGTACTCATTTATTGTTTTTATTTCAGGCAAATTGATGCACTTTTAATCTTTTGCGTCACAGACTAAAAATAATAAAGTTATTGTTTCTTGAAATTTGATCTATAGTTTTTTTTTCTTTAATGTTAACAAGGATACAATGTTATGCTATGGTGTACTTCTCACCATTTTATAGACAAATGTTAACACTAATAGTCGTGGAACCGAGTTTAAGGGGGCAAAATGTTTTGTTCTTCCTGGAGGGTCGGGGGGAAAAGAAAATTGAAAAGCACTGCATTAGCGCCATTTTGATATGACAATAGCATGATGCTAACATGACATGTTAGTGTCACATCAGCGTGTCGTTAGTGTGATGTAAGCATGACATTAGAGTGACATTAGCGGGACTAAAGTGTAAAGTGTGACATTACTGTGTTAGCATGTTTTTAACATGATATACGTATGACGTTAGTTTGGTGTAAGCATGATGTCAGAGTGAAACTAGCGTACTGTCAGTATGACAATAGCATAACGTTATCATCATATAAGACTGTTGTTAGCATGATAAAATTATGATGTTAGCATCACGTTAGCATAATATTAGCATGTCAGTGATGTTTGTGTGACATTAGCTTGTGGTTGGCATGACGTTTGGGTGATGTAAGGGCGAGCGTTTGCTTGTTCAGGGCAAACCCATGAAAGAGGCCCTGAGCGAAATTGCCTACTCGGCATCCTTCCTGGAGTGGTTTTCGGAGGAAGCGCGTCGGGTGTACGGCGACGTGGTGCCGTCACCCTTCAAGGATCGCAAGATCCTCCTACTCAAGCAGCCGGTGGGCGTGGTTTCCATCATCACGCCGGTGAGTGATTGGCCAGTGGGATAGCTTGGCTACTTTCGGCTAGTTGTGACGTTCACTTTGTGTCGTGTCTTAGTGGAACTTCCCGAGCGCCATGATCACAAGGAAGGTCGGCGCCGCACTGGCCACGGGTTGTACCGTCGTGGTCAAGCCAGCCGAGGACACGCCCCTTTCTGCGCTCGCCCTGGCCGAGGTCACAAGCGCATGACAAAGCACTCCTCGTTACACACACACACACACACACACACACACACACACACACACACACACACACGCGCGCACACACACACACACACACACACACTAGTCCTAATCCAGTCTTAGTTCAGTCTAGAAACAGTCTAGTTCGAGATAAAATTACTTTTTGTACAGGTTTAGACTAGTTCTTGTCCAAATGTGCCTCCACAAAACCCAAATCGTTGGCATACGTTGTGTCTTCTTCGGGTTTGTGTTTGGTCTCATGTTGTTGTCGTATTGCTGCGTCTCGTTAGCTGTCGTCCCAGGCGGGCCTCCCGGCGGGCGTGTTCAACGTGGTCCCGTGCTCCAGGGAGCAGACGCCATCGGTGGGGCGCGTCTTGTGTACCGACCCGCTGGTGGCCAAGATCTCCTTCACGGGCTCCACCGCCACCGGCAAGGTAAGACCAGAACAGACCCAGGCGCCGTGCCTCTGTCTGTTCTCCTTGTGCTCATGCTAACGAGCGCTGCTTTGTCAGGTTTTGCTGAAAATGGCCGCCGACACAGTCAAGAGGGCCTCTATGGAGCTGGGCGGTCACGCCCCCTTCATTGTCTTTGACAGTGCGGATGTGGACAAGGCAGTGCAAGGAGTCATGGCCTCTAAGTTCAGGAACTCGGGACAGGTGAGGAGCGCAAGCTTCACAGACTGTGGGAAAAATAGGGGACCAAAAAAAAAAAAAAAAAGTGAACTGCCAGTGGATGTGATTATTTGTTAGTCAAGTCCATTTTATTGTTAGTGTTGTATTGTTGTGTTAGTTCAAACAGCAGAATGGTCAGTTTAATGCGATGATGCGCTGAAGGTAGACACCTTCAGGAAAATAGCTAACCTCAGGACCTGACCCGGTCGGTCGATGCAGAATCTCCCGAGCGACGCCTCCGGGGAAGTGGTCCGCCGAAGATCTTGTCCTAGTCAGTCGGTGCAGAATCCATCCAGCAAGAGCCTCGGACAAGGTTATTGCCACAGAGGAGGGGGTGGGTGGGAGAAGCAGCAGTAAAATAGGCCAAAATCCAGGCAAGGCAAGGGCCAACGAACAGGATTTAACTAAGCACAAGAAAAAAATGGCGGGGAGGTCTTTCCAGGTGACCCTAGCCCGAATAGAGGGTTCTCTAAAAACTGAAGCCTTGTTTTTTTTGCTCTCGGAGTCACCAAACATGGCTGCTGTTGTTTTGTGCTCAGACGTGCGTGTGCTCCAACCGTTTCCTGGTGCAGAGCTCCATCTATGACAGGTTCATGGCCAAACTGGGCGCCGCCATGGACCGAGAGCTGAAGATAGGACACGGCAGCGAGCCGGACACCACGCAGGGGCCGCTCATCAACAACAGGGCAGCGGACAAGGTCAGAGTTAGGTTACGCTGTTACATGCAAAGGGCCTCCCGTGGACCGGCAGCTGAGGGTGGGACGTGGGCGTTCGACACTGACCCCGGCTGTTCGTCTTATTTATTTCCTACCTCCGCGTGGCCGTCAGGTGGTCCATCAGATGGAGGATGCCCTCTCTCGCGGGGCCCGGCTCTTGCGGGGCGGTCAACGTCTTCACGGCTCTTTTGTGGCCCCCACGCTGCTGGCGGACGTCAGCGCCGACATGTTGTGCATGCAAGAGGAAACCTTTGGGCCGCTTGTGCCTGTCGTCAGGTGAGCTAATACACCTCACCACCAGCATCCACCAGTTTTTATACACATATATATATATATATACAGACAGAGAGAGCAAGAGAGAGAGAGAGAGAGAGAGAGAGAGAGAGAGAGAGAGAGAGAGAGAGCGCTAGCTAGCTAACTAGAAGAGCCGTTAGTGTCTTCCGTGTGTTCATCAGTACAGTAGCGTATTTCCCTAAACTGAATCAGAATCATGATGATGACAATGACTAATCCGGAATTGTATCGTTTTCGTGCGCAGGTTTGACACAGAGCAGGAAGCGCTCGCCATCGCCAATGCCTCCCGAGTGGGTCTAGCAGGTGAGCACCCAAACCTGCCCCAGACTGGTATTTGCGTACATCTCATCCACTGCCAGGCCATTTTGAGTCGAGACGTGTTACTGTTCTTTTCAGTTCAATTGTATTCTTGTCTCGTCCAGTTCTTCAACCCGAGTTGAGTACCGTATTTTCCGGACTAAAAGGTGCACCTAAAAGCCTTCCATTTTCTCAAAAGCTCACAGCCCGCCTTAAAATCCGATGCGCCTTGTGTATGGTCATTATGGTAATATGTCGACCCCAAAATGGCTCCTCGCTAGAGACATGCTGACAACGCAGAGTTCAAACTTAGGGCGATCGGTTACGCAGTTGAAGACGGAAAATAGAGCAACGGCAAGAGAGTTCAACGTTAATGAGTCAATGCGATAACTTGATGTTGGTTCAATGAACTGTGTCGCTGCTTTAAATAAGTTTTACTGACATTGTTGGCTTTTCCTTGAGCGTATCTCCATCTAGTGGATGCATTGTAGATTGCGTCTTACAAAAAATTACAAAATAGGCCATTCATTGAAGGTGCGCCTCATAATCCAGTGCGCCTTTTAGTGTGGAAAATATGGTACTCAGTATTATTTAAATGCTAGTCTTAAGCCGTCCGATCGAGTCCAGTCGTGGTTATTTTTGTGATTTACAACAGTCCTAATAATCAGTTTCAGCCTAATTACCCTCAAATTCCACCACTTGCTCAGGTCTAGTTCAGTCTCGTCGAGTCCACTTCACTTCTTGTCCAGTCTTTCACTGGCTTTAGGCCAGTCCTAGTTCAGTCTAGTTTTGAGTCCAGTCTAGTCTCAAAGTTGCGGTTCAGTCCTTGTCCACCCGATAGTTGGTAGTCCAGCCTTGTGTTCGGATAATTCTATCCCAGTTCTTTTTAAGCTCTAACATTGCGTAGTCAAGTTCCAGTCCTCTCAGTCCTAATCTTTTTATTTTCCTAGATCAGTGCTGGTCCAGTTCTAAACAAGCTCTTGTCTGAATGTAGTTCATATCTAGTGTTAATTCGACAGCGCTCATTTTTTTTTGTGTCTTGTTTCAGTTCAGTTCTAGTTGAGTGTCTTCCACCACTTGGTCAGTATGTAATATTTTTGTGTGTTCTGGCTGGTTCACCGCCTTAGGTTACTTCTACTCGTCGGATGTGTCTCAGATCTGGCGAGTTGCTGAGGCTTTGGAGGTCGGTCTGGTGGGGGTCAACGAGGGTCTGCTATCCACCCCGGAAGCCTCATTTGGGGGGGTCAAGGAGTCCGGTCTGGGTCGCGAGGGCTCAAAGTACGGCGTGGACGAGTACCTGGACGTCAAGTACGTCTGCTTGGGCGGCCTGTCTCTAACCGGCTAAAGGGGATTGTCAAACGGCAAACCCAAAAATGTGCCATAAATGATCTGCTGTGATTGGGCGAGGGGAGGCTAAAGCTAATTATAGCGCGTGATCTTTGTTCATCCTGCCATTTTGTCCTGTAGCATGAAAGTTAGCGTAGCATCATCTCAAATTACGCCCGGGGAGCCAATTTGTGTCGCGCGTTAATTTATTAATCCAATATTGCCAACCCGTGACTAGATGATGTGACGCTTCTGCCATCCAATCGGGAGATACTATTTTCCCTTTGTAGTCACTCACTGAAATGATGAAAAAAAAAAGAAGAAAAAAAGCACAATGTGAGGTGAAAACAAATGAGATTGACATGTCATGAAGATTTGCATCACGCTTATATGAACGTATATGCTGTTTGACAATGTTCTCATTCATGTCAGCAGGATGATGAGCACATGATATCATCCTTTCCGTCTATTGATCCTAAATGTGAAATAGTTTGTCGTTGTCCTTTGGAAAATAACTTTGTTTCTATTCTAATAAGATGAATAAAACATTTCATACAATCAGCACGTCACTGCCTCTGTGTCCGTCCTTCAAAATAAAACAGTTGTGGCATCGCTGTCAAAATAAAAGGCGGCCATCACTCACGAGGCGTCATCGTCACGGGTGGGCGTTCCACCCGAAACGGCGGCGTCTGCCCCGTGCATCTGCCTGTCGCAGTCCCATTCCGACTCGGATGTGGCAAGCGACGAGCGGCCGTTCGTGGCGCAATGCGCCGTGCCTGCGCAATGCAAAGGCCGCCATTGGTCAACACAAACCAACCCCGTTGGCGGACGGGCTAACGTGCTTACCAAATTTGGGCTGGAGCTCCATCCTCTCATCCTCATCCTCAGCCGCGTTGGGCAGGATTGCGTATCGGCTCCTCTTCCTCACTTTGACTCGCCTCCTGCGCGCACGCACACGCATTGACACGTATTTTACAGTGAAGTCGGTTTTCTGCATGAAAGCCGTTGTGTCAAAACCCTGGCCAACAGGAGACGAGTAGTTGGTGTCAAGGCAGTACGTTGACCTGAAAAATCTTAGCACGGTGGGGGAAGAGCTAAGTTTTACGTCACATGGATGTTTTTGCTCCCACGTGGCTCTTAAGCCCATGAACCGTTCAAGTCCAGACTCAGCTCTACCCCTGCCACTCAAAGACAAGCTCCACTCTTCTGAGCAGCAAAACTAAAACAGGAGTGAGAGAAGCCATCTACCGTATTGGCCCTAATATAAGACGGCCCTGATTATAAGACGACCCCCTCTTTTTCAAGACTCAAGTTTGAAAAAAGACTTTTTGAACACCAAATTAATTTTTATACAGAAAATAATTACAGTGCATCTGAAACAAATGATTATAACAATATATTTGAGAGAAAAAGCATGTTATTTTGCCTCATTCAAATGTAAAGAGCAATCACATTCGTAAATGAATAGCTTCTGGTTTTTGAAATATAAATTACATCATAACTTCTCCTCAGCTGCCGATCTTCGACCCACTTTTCTCCAGATTGGCGCTACGTTTCTCCATTTTCTGTTATTTCTTCTATTGTTTTCTTCTCTTTTCCTTCTTACCGCTATTTTTTATTTTTCTTCTTCGTGCTACCGCTATTTTTATTTTTATTCTTTGTGACAAGCATTCGCTTTGGCCTGGGGACTCAAATTCAGAATTCGCGTCAATGTTATCTGGCGCCATCTAGTGACGTGAATGGGTATAACGTCGAGACCCCCAATATAAGACGACCCCGTTGGGACACGCTCAACTGGGACACGAGCACCAGCAGCTACTTGCCATCTTGCTGGTCGGCGCCGGGTTCTAGGTATCAGCATGTGCGTTAGTCACGTTCCACACACGCACACGGTGTCACGCGCATGCACGACGGGGCGCCGCCCACCTGCTCGGACCTCCACGGTGGCCGCGGCGGTGCCGGAGCGTCCACGGTGGTCCGTCACCCGCAAGTGGAACACGTACGTCCCCTCCACTAGGTTGCACAGCAACAGCTCGGCAGCACCCGCAGACCCAAGCAAGACGTCACCGCTCACACACCGGTCACACAAAGAATGGAAAACACACACACAAAATGCACTTTAAAAAAAACCAAACACCAACACACAAAACATGTACACACACTAAAAACACAGACACATGCACAAAAAAAAAGCATAAAGACATACACAAAAGATAGAACGCACAACAAAACACAAAAAACATACATGCACAAAAAAATAAATAAAATTACATACACAAAAACACATTTGACGCCATACTAACCTTAACGTTACAAAAGAGCATGCTAACTATCATAATTCGCGTATTGGTTTGCGTGTTGGTCAACATGTCGGTTGGCATGCGTTTAGGGTCCCGAAACATGTCAACTGACACCAGCCGCCGGACTCTGCTGGTCCCTTTGCCAGCGGAATCGTACGCGTTGGCGGTCTCGTTGGCTGCTTAGCCCACTGACAGATCCTCGGAGGACGACGGCATTGTCGGGAAGGACGAGTGTGTGCGTCCCGCCGGCGTGGACCACCAAGGGAGAATCTGTTACTGTGGGAGTTGGGGAGGGGGGGCACATGCCTGGCATTTTAACATGCATCGGCCACCACGCTGTACAATCAGTGGGATCAGTTGCAACGCATCCGTGGGAAAGATCAAAGTAACATTTGTCAAAGGAAATCCAAGGTTTTTTTCGTGAAATGTTTTCGAAAAGAGATGTTCCTGAAATGAAAAACACATGAAAAAACAAAGGAAAGACATGATCGTTTTTGACAAGAGTATGGTACAATTTTAATGGTCCGGCCCACTTGCCATCTGCCGAGGCCGTATGCGGCCCACATTGTCAAATGAGTTTGCCCCCCCCCCCGCTCTGCTCTAAACAGTGGCGGCTTTCGAACGGGATGCGCCATGACTCCTCGCTCCAACGTGTCGGACGGAAAAGAAACCAAATGAAGCGGACCGCTGCCGAGCATGATTCTTCATCTAAACAAAAGTCCTGACATGAAAGCATTTTTCAGACGTGGATGTTTGAAGCTAGTTGGGCATATGCGCTTTACACACACACACACACACACGCACTATTGGGAGCACAGTCGACAACCCATCTGAAATCCTGAAGAGTATCAATGTGGCAATGGTACCCACGCTAGTGTGTTCTACTCTTCTATGACTATGCGCTCTGGTCCCCGCGTTCCCAAAAAGAGGCTGTGTCAGTGAAGTTGCTTGAAGGCAAGTCCAAGAAGTTGGGCCCAGTCCCCATCATTGAGTCCAACGAGCGCCAATAAACGTCCGCGGAAGAGAAAAGCGGTTCGCGTCGGGTTGACCTTTGCGCGACTTGTTGAAGTCAACCGAAAGAGCGCCTTTGTTTGGCGCCACGCATCAGGGTGCGTTTGTCCCTTTACGATGACAACGACTCGGTACTCCATGATGACGTTTTTGTCAAAGACCGCGGGAAGAAGCAAAGGCAAAGCGCCGCATCACAAGGACTCACGACTCTATGATGACGTTTGGCCGAAGACTGCAGGAAGACGCCAAGCCATAGGCAGTCATATCGCAAGTCGACGGTGGCAGAGAGCAGAAGCGACGCACGGTTCTTTTCCTGACTCCAGAAGCGGCGGGATGACCAGCAAAGTTTGGTTGGGCCTCCTGCTGTGCTCCCTGATGGTCCGGCTCAGCGTGCCAGGTGAGTCAACATCGCCAACAGTCATGATTAGCTTTGACACTGCAACAAAAAAGCGTCCACTCGTTGCTGCCGTGACCCGCGACACGATGACGAGTGAAAAATCGGGGGCCGATTGGGCACGAGCACCAAAAGAACAAAATTGTCGACCAGCGGGGGCAGTTTGGTGTCACGGGTCTCTGCCGTTCTTCGGCGCGATTCACCTTTCGACATCAATTGTTGACCTCGCGACTGCTGCCGTCGGCCCGCCCTGCAAAGTGTCAAGTCAAGCCAAGAGTTCAGTTATTCCCGTTTTTCACGGCCCTCTGGATAGGGATCGTCAGTCAGCAGGGAAGGATTACTCGCCCTGTAGCTTTTTGATCATTAATTGAAGCCCTTTGTAACAGACGCAGCGGCCCAAGATGCCGCAACCCCGGAGAATGCAAAACCAGGTAAGAACCTCTCGTACGCATCAATGCAACCAAAATAAATCAATCGATCTTCAGGCATCACAATTTAAATGGATATCATTGATATCAATCCATGTCATGCCTTCGTCTTCACGACAATTGAACTCATTTTATCAACCATGACTTGACAGCGACGTATTACGATCGTCTTCAGAATTCGTAGTCCGGAAGAAACCATCCAACAGAAACGTACCGAGGGGAAGCGAACAAAAGGACTACATGTCCCAGCGGTCAAACCCGGAAGCGGGGCGCCGGCACGAAAATGACTCATTTCACCGTTCCGTGCAAGAAAGAACACAGTCAGCGAGCACGATTGAATCGGAAAGATTCACTCGACAGATCTGACCTCGAAAAGCGTTCAGAAACGTCGCTCGCCATTGGGCCGGCGTTGGCAACCAAGTGAGCGATTTTCCAAACGGAAGAAACCGCGTCGCCAACGTCATTATTAGCTTTGACTTTGGAACACAAAAGCGTCCCACTCGTTGCTGGCGTTCACCCCGACACGTCAGCATGTTGGCATGATGAGTGAAAAAGTAAAGACACCGCTATAATCGCAAGACTGTTTCCCCCACGCACACTGCCGCAATTCATCTTTACACCTCAATTGTTGACCTCGCGACTGCTGCCGTCGGCCCGCCCCCTCAAAGTGTCACGTCAAGCCGAGTGTGCGCAATCTTTGTCGTCTTTGCTTGCGCAGCTCTCAAATGCTACCAGTGCGCCGACAAAGCGGCTTGTAAGACTTGCCTGAGCGGCATTTCAACATGCACCCAACAGACTTGTACCGAAGGCCAAAAATGTTACAAGAAAAGCGGTAAGTTTGGCCACGACGCCGCTGTCTCGCGATGTGCGCGTGCGCTCCGTCATGCCCTTGTGTTTGTGGTGACTTGCAGAGGGCGCCGATGTGACCGAGATGAGCTGTAAAGAATGTGCCGAGAGCGACGGATGCTGCGACACCGCTTTGTGTAACGGGCCCACTTCGGCCGCGGTGCCCAACCGGCTTGGGGGCGGCAGCATGGCGCTCCAGGTGGCGCTCGCCGCCGCCGCCATTTTGTTGCCGCTCTGGGTGTGAGGGGCCACTTGTCTGCTTGGCCATGGGCGGATGCTAACCTGGCCACCGCGCGCGCCATTCTCACGGCCGCCAGTCCTACCTGAATAAAGTGCAAAACAAATTGCCCGTGTCCCATCTCTGCCTTGCCTGCAACCGAGTGACGGCCCCAACAAGGTGGAACCTCCGCTAGATGGCGTGGCAAACCGGCTCTCAAAGCGACCTCAGAGTTCCAAGATCAGATGTGTCGAAAAACAGAAGGAAGACCGCACAGCGCGCGCGCGCGCGCGCACACACAGCCATGAGGAAAAGTGTACATTTTGCCATTTGGGACCTCAAAAATTGCTCAGGGTTCCTTCAGACATCCGCAACCATGGAAGAAAAGAAAACTCGTGTCCTCGTCAAAGCGGAGATTTGAGGGGGACTGGACTTCCTCGTGCGAATGCAGCAACGGGACGAGTTGCATCAAAAGGTGTTCTCCGCTGAAAGTCGAGGGGGAGCTAAAATGGCGCCGCGTCAAGACCATCCCAGGGCCGATTTGGGATCGCTCACACCGATCGACACGAAAACAGACCGGATACAAAATGGCACGCGTTGATTGAACGGGTTCCTTGAAATTGCAAAGGGCAACCGAAAAGGCTAAATATTACCCAACTGAAGATGTAAATGTTGCGATTTTGTTGTGGCACCGGGCGGGTACATAAATGAATGTGTGAGTGGGTTTGTCAGTTCGGGTTTTAAACAAGGCTGAAGGTGAAAAGTGAGTGTTTGAAGGCTGGTTTATGCTTTCAAATGAGGGTTTTAATAATCGCAAGGGGTTCATCAAGCGAGGGTTCCGGTTTGATACGAATGCTCGTGCTTTCAAGGCATGGGTTTTTTTTTTCCATGAGGGTTTTGAGAATTGGTTGAGGGGGTTGAGGTTATGGTTGCCTTTCCAAAGAACATATTGGACAACAAAATGGGGGCGAGACGTGACCTCGTTTCGCAAAGCACAAGTCATTTAAAACCGGACAGAAACACTCCTTTTTTGGGGGGGATAAGTGGCACTTTTTCAGAAGTGATAAAGTTGCAGTATCTCAAGGCAACCTCAATGAATGCAGGAAGGAGTCTGATGAACAAGAAAAAGCGCCTAAGAGGAGGATCGAGGTCCCGTTCGTACGAATCAGGTCTCCTTGATCTCATCCCGCTTGGTGTCTACATTTTGCCGCAGATAATTTTTTTTCTTCGGATAGAGCTCTCGATGAAGGACGTTGTTCAAATGGACGGTTTGCTGACAATCCATCCAGATGAGAAAATGTTTGGACACGCGGCGAGGTTATGAAGTCGTTGTTTGTCAAGGCCTATCCGCTTGCAAACGTGATCAGGCGGGATGTCATCCATATACGTGCGTCAGAAATCTGTCCGGCGCCGCATTACGTTATGCTTCATTCTTTGATAACATTCACGTTTATGTTGAGAGCGTCTTTCGGCTCAAAGACATTGACATAGATGAGTATTGTAAGTTATAATTTGCCTCCTACTGGACTATTGTTAAACTGCATGTGATGACGTTGCCTTCCCTGCGCATGCGCAGTTTAGTAACCAAGAAGAGTGCGCAGGTTCGTGGTGTCTGGTGTCCTCGCTCAAGATCGTTCCTTATAAGTTCAGTAATCAGCGGAGTTCGTGACCGAAAAGTACGTTTCCTTTATCTCTTCATTACATCTATGTTTAATGGCATCCTTTACGTTAGTTCGTGCGTTTGTATCGCCCTTCGGAGTTAATATAGGAACAGAAGTCTGCTTCGGCCGCCATTCTACACTATCCCTACCGGCCACTAGAGGGCTTCATAGACCATATAAACGAGCCAGTCCAATTCAGTGTTTCAGTCTATTTGGCCAACCAAACCGTTGGCAGCGTTCCTTCCCTTTATTGTATTTCCTTGAAAGAATTTGTACAGCATTTCTATATCTTAATTATCCTGAGTGTCTATGTTGTATCATATCTTGTTGAATGCTGTACACTCCGTAATTTATGTCATCTGACATTCCAGACTACACTTCTATAGACCTTCTGCCCTCGCCCTTTACCCCGGCCTACACCCCACCACCTATTAAACGCCTTACGTCAAGATCCCTGCCTGTTTCCTCCCCAACAGTTTTGATTGGCTGAAGGATTTTCGTTGCGGAAGGAGGAGTTGTGCCGATTCAAAGGATTCCATCTCTTTTGCCGTTCGTGTGCTTGTGCATGAGCGCGTGTCAGTCATGACCCCCCCCCCCCCCCCCCCCCCCCGCCCTTTACCCCGGCCTACACCCCACCACCTATTAAACGCCTTACCTCAAGATCCCTGCCTGTTTCCTCCCCAACAGTTTTGATTGGCTGAAGGATTTTCGTTGCGGAAGGAGGAGTTGTGCCGATTCAAAGGATTCCATCTCTTTTGCCGTTCGTGTGCTTGTGCATGAGCGCGTGTCAGTCATGACCCCCCCCCCCCCCCCACCACCACCCTTTTCTCCCCACCCCACCCC